GATTGTGTATGATAATACATGTTTAATGATGATGTGTATGAGGATGATGTGTATGATGATACATGTTAATGGTGATGTGTTGTATGATGATGATATGTATGATGATACACGTTAATTGTGATGTGTATGGTGATGATGTGTATGATAATACATGTTTAATGATGATGTGTATGACGATACATGTTAATGATGATGTGTATGATGATGATGTGTATGAGAATATATGTTTAATGATGATGTGTATGATGGTACATGTTTAATTATGATGTGTATGATGATGATGTGTATGATGATACATGTTTAATGATGATGTGTGTGATGATAATGTGTATGATGATACATGTTGGACATATGTATGTATGTATGTAAGGGCGTGTGTGTGTGTGAACTTCTTTGTGTACATACAATGAAAAAATGCAAAAACAAAATAAATATAAAAAAAAAAAAAGGACATCATTTTGAATGCTTTTCTTATTATATCATGTCCTACAGGCATGTAGGGCAAAATCAGATTTTATCATTTCACCTTTGTAAACTTCTCCAATCTGCATCCCAAAACCTCTAGAGGAGGCATGTCCTTATTTTTTAGCCAAAGAATTGTCTGGTATCATCACCAACAATATGGCAAAATTATATCAGGCTATTTTGAAGTAGAGCTGTCATGCCAAATCAATAACTCTGAAAGCCTAAAATTTGTTTTCTTTATAATAAGGAAAGAAAGTGTTATTATCAAAATGAAGAAATCACACACAAATAATAAAGGGATTGTGCAAGTCCAAGAAAACATTTGTCAGATATGGACAATAATATTTTCACATATTTTGAAAAAAAAAAAAAAAAAAGAGAAATATAAAAGTTACCTTATCTGAATGATGACAGATACCTTATCTGAATGATGACGGATACCTTATCTGAATGATGACAGATACCTTATCTGAATGATGACAGATACCTTATCTGAATGATGACGGATACCTTATCTGAATGATGACGGATACCTTATCTGAATGATGACAGATACCTTATCTGAATGATGACAGATACCTTATCTGAATGATGACAGATACCTTATCTGAATGATGACAGATACCTTATCTGAATGATGACGGATACCTTATCTGAATGATGACGGATACCTTATCTGAATGATGACGGATACTTTATCTGAATGATGACGGATACTTTATCTGAATGATGACAGATACCTTATCTGAATGATGACGGATACCTTATCTGAATGATGACAGATACCTTATCTGAATGATGACAATTACCCTATCTGAATGATAACAGATACCTTATCTGAATGATAACAGTTACCTTATCTGAATGATAACAGATACTTTATCTGAATGATGACAGTTACCTTATCTGGATGATAACGTAGCGCCAGCTTTTTGTAAGCTTTTTTGATCTCATCTGTAACAAACAAAATTAACTTTTAACTCTATGAATGAAAACAGAGGCTGTTCTATAGCGCCAGTTAAGAAAATGCTATCCATTTTCACCATCACTGTCATCAGTAGGTTGATTTTTAGTGAAAATTTTCATCTCATAGATATTCAACAATACATGCACACCACTGATATGTCGCCTCTCCAGCATCTGTGTAAGGTAATTCATGTACATGGAAATGATTTTATCCTACAACTGGTGCTACCTGGCAGATAAATTGTTGTTGTATTCTGTAGTGATAGAAAACAGCTGTAATTTATCATGTAATTAGTTTGACAGAACTAGTTTCAAATACTCTTGAAAATATAAATAATGGTTTAAATCAGAGATCTTATTTGTTGTAACACACAAGTCTATTTACAAAACTTCATAAAGCTACTGTTTTATCTATTCCCTACTTAGCAATTCTATTGACTTATGTCAGGCATCTCTCAGTGTAATGTCAATGTCAGGTTAAGTTTTGATAGTCTAAATTTTCTATCATTGTTACAAGATAAACAGAATACATGGCCAGTGTCCTAAAATATAAGCTGTAATTTGGCTTGGGACAGAAAGAGGAAAATGACTCAGGAATTTTGGTTCTCTTCATCCCCACCAAAATATATCATTAAAGACATTAACCGTTTATTCTCTTTATCATTCACTGTAAGCATGTATATATAAGTACAACCTTCTTTGAAGTGAAATATCATAAATTATAAATGTTGTCTTACAATCTTTGTAACTTATTACTATCCAGTCCACTGTCAGTGTCAGCCTGTATGCCTCATCCTCCATTCCAAATGTCTATCACAGCATGTGTTAAATGTGTACTACCTTACCATTAATCTTAATTAGTCTACTGTTTTATCAAACTTTTTTCAAATTTGTCTGGAGTTTACAAATTCTCCAGATCAATCTGAAAAAGTCAATAAAACGTCAGAATAACTATGGCTATCTTACCATCGCTGGCTCCTTCCGAGACACCAAGTATCTCTCTGCAACGTTTTTTTTCACGCACTGGATTTCTTCCTGCCATTTTGAGTAATCATACAGCCTCGCAAAGCATCATGCTTGGAAATCTGAATGAAACCGAAATAAAATTGTTAATATTCAAATAAAAACTAAATATATCTTAAGGTCTTTTCAGCAAATTATCTTATCATGTTTTGTAACATTCTTCTGGTGTACTTTCATTTTCTTATACTTAAGATGCTACACATGACAGTTATGATCTGGTGGTATAATTTCAACAAAATGAAAAGTTGTAATAGGATCTTAGGGCCCACCATCATTGGATTTTTTCCCTTAAGATGTTAATTGTAAAATCCGAGATGGTCACATGTCGGCTATTTTGTTTTTCAGATCAGACCAAAAATCAAAATGGCACAATTAGGAACACAATAAATTTGATAAAGAACCATCCAGTACTCCTTAAGTAATAGCAAAATTTTGGAAAGATCGGAAATATCCATCCAGTACTTCTCAAGAAAATTAATAACAAAACTTGTTTAAGGACTGTCACATCTGATAGCAGCTGGCTAAAAAGTATGTGATGAGGATAGGATTGATGCAGGTTTAGGCAAATTAGTTTACAAACAAAATTGTGACAGAACATAATCTTGTGAACTGATATCTGATTTGGAATGAATTAGTACAAGTAGACAGTGCCTCCTGGTGTGCAGAAATATGTACACACTCATATGAGTTTGGGAATATAAAAGCAAATATTACAAATTGTTATTTAGGGAATAAGACAGTAATGCCAATTTAATGTACCTGAATTTTTGTGGTCAACCTGATATTGAGCATAGGATTGACCTTCTTCAAAATCAATTTTTGGATCTAATTTTTTGTTGAAATAATGTTCTATCAAAGACAAGAACATCATCTAAATGCATACCTATTTGATAAATTACAACACCAGTTATAACTGGATATTAGATGACAAGAGGTTGGTGATACTGAACAAGGAAATTATTATGGGATAAGTGTTTGGTGATAAAATTCATACATTGTACTTATTCAGTCAGAATATAACCATGGATTCTGGGATATGACCATAGTGACTGGGATATAACCAGGATTACTTGGATATAACCATGGTTATTGGGATATGACCATAGCTACTGGGATAAAACCATGGTTTCTGGGACATAACCATGGTTTCTGGGACATAACAAGAGTTACTAGGAAATAACCATAGTTACTGGGATATAACCATGGTTTCTGGGAAATAGCCATAATTACGGGGATATAACCATGGTTAGCACTTTATAAATATTCTAAATGAATATCAGCTTCCCTACAGAGTATCAGTCATTGCTACTTACATCATTATTAAATTTATTTCAGGTTGTATCCTAAATGTGATATTAATCTTTTTGCCAAACATACCTAGTGCTTGTGTATTTCAACATATCAAAAATATTCTGGTTGGGTTAGAAAACCTTATCCAAATCGTACAGTTAATTTATATGAAATATTACTTCATTATTGCCAAACATGATAGTAAAATAAACCTGAAAGAAGAAAGATATTGACTAACTTCTTAACATAAAATATATTAACGGAACATATAAACTCACAATATTTTATTGTGAATAGATTTAATCGTTTTTTTTTTCTGCAAGTGTCATATGTTTCATGATATGATGTAGTTAACACAAAATGTCCTCTTCAACCGATCTCTTGATCCATTTACGTACATGAACCTATTTTAATAAAAAGTGTCAAAACTCTATAAGGATATTTACTATAATCAGTGTAACTCCTTGAAACCTCTTACATAGATATAGATAAATATCATCCGACAACTTGGTGAAAGGTTTCTATGATACTAAATAACGTCCTGTTTCGCAAATTGTGCACTACTGCACTGCAGCAGGCCAAGCAGATCATCAGATTATGCTCTGCGGCAATTAACGTAGGCACAACTAGTCAATTGAAAATTATGAGATACTATTTTCTTGATCTCAAAACAAAGAATATAAGACAGACATCAAGACGAAGAATATTTTGTCTTGTAATAAACTTATACACACCCGATATGTTGATTGGAAGCACTCACCAGCTTAAACTTCCAGGAAGGGGACACAATGAATGGTGGAGTTACCAAAAGCGAAAGTTGTCATGCGCATGCGCAACTTACAACGATAGTTTCAAGTACTAAAAATGCCAACTTTAACAATTGTTTTAGAATGTATGCCTAAGAACTCGAAACAAAAATAACATTCTACAGAATTATCGTTAATCAATCACATTATGATGTTGTCAAACATTTCATTTGAATTACAATTTCTACTTTCCGTATCAAATAACAACAAACGAAGTTACTTCCGGTTATGATTTAGATAAATACATTCGAAAAGAAATATTATTTGGATTGTCATATGCTATACTTAAATATAATTTACCAAGCTTATTCAAGGTTCGTCGAAAAAAAAAATAACTTACTGATACTGATGTATATTCAATTTCTCTTTATGAGAATATACTAAAAGCTCTTTTCACACCAATAAAAAGTCTGATAATTTATTCGACTGTAAATTTTGTGGCGATTTGTTATCCACAATGCACAGCGGAGGGAGAAAATTATGATTGTTGCTGTAATTACAGTAATTCCTCAGACGATAAAAGGAAAGGTAAATGCATTGATAGTATGTAAAACATTTTATTCCAGAAAAACCATTTTCTCGTTATCAAAACATCCAAACAAACTAGTTACAGACTGTAATTTGTAAAATGTTGTGAACAACATATATCTCACTGTCACTTACATCAGCGTTTGCATTCAATTCAAGCACCATGGTTTGTACTACGGCTGGTATTAGCATAAAAAATATGTTTTAGGATATTTGTAACAAATCCCTGTGGCTAGTTTTAGACTTGAATATTGCTACATATCTCAGCAGACATAGATTGGCAAAGTCTAAAATCGCATGAGAAGTCCAAAAACATGAACGTTTTACAAAGTTGCACACACACAGTATGTACAATCATGCAATATGGAAAAGGGAGATTCTTGAATGATTATGGTCACAATTATTGGTGTACTGATTACTTGATTTCGTTGTTGTTTTTGTTTTTACAAAGACACAATAGGCCTGATCTAGGGCGCGACAATTTACCCTAATACATGCAAATTAAGCCAAATTTTACCCAAATATACTCAGATAAAGTCAAATCGATTTACAGGAACATGCTGTCTCAGGCTCTGTATTATTAGGCACGTATATCTGTTATATACGTTAATGGTATTTTATTTTATTACTAATAAACGATATACACATGATAAAATAGACTATCTTTGTCTAATTTTAGCTTCCATTTACTAAGGCAATTCATATAAATTCCGTAATACCAGATAGGCTAATGGGCAAAAAACAGAAAAAAATGAAAGGAGAACGAATTTGGGTAAGATTTTGGTATATTTGGGTACAATTTGGCTTTATTTGGATGTATTTGGGTATATTTGGATGTATTTGGGTGTATTTGGCTTTATTTGGATATATTTGGGTGTATTTAGGTAAATCGTCGCGCTGCCTGATCTATTACCATTGACTAACTGACAAAAGATGTTGCATATATGCTGGGAAAGATTGGGATTGGATAATATGTTATATATTATGGTTTGATATTATTATGCCTCGTAAAGTTATCTTTGTGGAAAATTATACCTCAAAGTTAAGATAAATATTATGAAAAAATGGCAGTAATTCTAATTAATTTTAAGATTGGAAACTTGTTCACCATAACTTGAATTTGTGTGATGTTTTTTTTTACCTGAGTGGCATTTAATCAGATCATGCAGCTGTTTTTGTTATCAATTTATCATATGCCAGGGTTTTCCATAATTTTGTTAGTAGTAGGCTGTGTAGTGAAAGTAGGAGGCTGGCCTGCCATGTACGTGTAGTCGTGTACGGAACATTATTACGGAACTGGATTGGTGTAGGCGGCCAAATGATCAAAGTAGTCGGCCAAATTGGCGACCGGCTCTTATGGAAATCCCTGGATGCAATGTTGTGTTTTCATCAAAAGCAATATGATTCATTGTATTGCGTTTTGCTTGTTTGTAGTTTTTTTTTTTTTGTTGTTTTTTTTTCAAGGATTTAGATTTGTCTGGTAGTCTCCTGTCAACTCCTTAATTATTTGTTACTAATGACTTTCTAATTTAATTTCAATTGACTTTTATTGCCATTACTTGAAATTGTGTTTACCTTGAAGGCAATTGTATTGTGTATTTTTGGAAGAGTTATTGCCCTTGTGTTTATATATTGTTTCAGCATTTCAATCTTTTCAAGAGATTTATTCTTTTTAGTTTTCAACTGACCTTTTGAAGACTTCATTTGCTTTATCAATAACACCAGGAGATCCCCCTCCCCAAAGTCTGGAATTTCTAAAAAGCATTTTGACAGTTTTTTATTTCATTTTCCTGTTTATTCGGACACATTAGATGAACAATATATTTGATGTTGGCATGAGATGAACTTATATAAAATAGTTGAGGGAAAGATACTGGTATATATAGTTAAAAATGGAAAAATGTTCTGACCAACATAGGACCTGAAAATTAAAAATTAACTGATTAAAATTTGTTAGGTCTTTTAAGCACTTCTGTTAACACCTGAATGATGAATATGTTCTTTAATAGAGAGCATGTTACCATGGCAAAATATATATGTACCAGCCTCTTCCTTCCAATTCAAGTAGGGCAAATTGTTCATTATATCTCAGTGATTTTATGTTAGCCTCTTGTGGTGCAAATTTTGTTTTAGCTCGGTATATATCACCCAGGTGAAATACTAGTCACTTCAGACTAACTTAGCTCACTGAGATCTCTATCCGGCTCTGTATATGTTGCATTAGCAAATTATCAGCATTTTCTGATGTTGTAAAATGCCTAATATAAGAATAAGTTTGAACGTGAAGTATCCTCATTGTAGTTTCTGTAAAAGACTGTTTGAAAGTGTTTGGATTATCTTCCTATAGTTTCCATTTGAAACATGATTTATGGAATGAGTCAAGAATTTTCTATTTGGACATGCAATTTTAATGGAAACAAAATGTAAGGTCTTTTTTAGCACATCTGGTTATCTACTAGACATATTATTTTACATACCAGGGTTTATTTTAAACAGACATCAGGGTTTCTTTTAAACAGACATTACTTCACACTTGACACAATTTTGGCTCTATCATGTCCACAATATATTGCATATGTGTAACACACAAAAATATTACAAGGGCATAATCTTCAATTCACATGGCAGTCATGTTGTAAACTGGATAACATGGATGTATTTATTACAGATCAAGACCGACTGACCACCGAGATGTTTAAAGCACTGGACAAAGTTAACTATGACAACCTTGTCTTAAATCAAAACACTACCAAGGTAAAAGAAGCCCTCAAACCAAACAACCTCGTGAACTTGAGCTGCTTTGCCTTGAACAGGAACCCAAGCAATGCTGAACGAGCAATCAAAACCATACCGGCACATCTAGCTCCCAGTGTGTTAAGGGCAGCCATAGAGAAAAAGGAATCGGAGACTGCCAGTGCTGTTCTGTCAAATTGGCCACTTAAAGATTTATGGTAAGGGTTTCTGTTCTTTCTGAGACAAAGGAAATATTTCTTTGTACAGTTACACACAGATAAGCCAAAGTCGACAGGATCAAATTAAATATAAGACTTACCTGATAGTTCGACTTGGCCATGTTTATATGAACATGAGACATTGTGCATCAAAAGGTTGACAATGTTTTCATTAATTGTTGACCAGATATGCTTCATATATTTGACTCAACAGTGTTTGATTTACTAAGGTAAAGAAGAGTAAAAATTGGGACAAAACATTTGACTTGTCCAATTTATTTGATTCAAGCATGTTTGACACGTGTGTATTCAGGGGTGCTGAAAAGCACACGTCCGGTCATCATGGACGAGTGAAAATTGTCTCGGACAACCAGATTTATCTTTGTCAGTCGTCCGTTGGACAAGTGCTTTTTCCCAATGAAATTAATGTTACTAAAAATGTAAAGAAAATTTTAAACAAAGAAACATGTTTACGGTACTTCGAAAATAAAATATTCCAGCCTGCACTCTAACTTTTGATTACACCGGAACTCCCATGACATCAAATATAGCATTCGGAATACCTTAGTCATTTACCCGCAGTCAAGCTGATGTCAGGTGCTCTCGGATGGTACCAACATGTACCGGTCTGTATTTAGCAGCACTTAGTCAGTAGGATATGAACAAACTCTACAGCTAGGCCTAAGTCGCGCACAATGTTTGACGCATAGCAGAAATCACTGCATAGTGATTTTCACTAAAACTTAAAATAAAAATAGAAAAATAATCACATCCTCGCTGATTAAATTGCCATTTCATTGCTGAATTTGGACAAGTAAATTTCCAATCCGGACAAGTAAATTTTTCAGTCCACTAGTCCTGTGCCTAGCGGTTTAAAATATTTCTCAATACCCCTGATATTGTATATTGTTTAAATGATGTTGTTAATCATTAAAGCAGAGAAACATTGTAATATTTCATTGTATGTACATCCACATTATTGACACCCATCTAAGGATTTTTATCCTTTTAATATTTTAAGGTCCATTCACCAAATGCACAGGCATTGATAACATAAAAACTTTCTTGTTGATATTATGTATGAGTAACATTGACCTATAGGGAATCAGCTGATTTATAACATAACAAATATAAAATTGCACAAATTTTTGTTTTTCAGTTTTAAAGAGATTCTAGGTTCTGACCATGCAGACATTTTCCAGGAAGGAACTGGTTTTCATTTTGATCTGGTAGTGTTTCGAGGGATCAGGAACCGGACAAAGTTTTGTAAAATCACTACAGTGGACTTCAGAGGGTTCAAACTCAGTAGGTATTCCCATGTACAGCTTTAAAAACATACCATGTACTGGTGTAACAGTTAACAGTATGAGATTTCTTTGTCATACCTCAGTTTGGAGATAGGAGTGGGATGGGGAATATTCGGTTCATGACAATTGTACGATACCACGGTAACAATTGTACAATACCATGGTAACAATTAAATGATGCTACTTACTGAGACAATTTAAAACTGTCAGTATTGCCAAGCATTGAGATAACTACAACTTTATGATTACATATACAGACATCCAAAAGGATAGAGAAAAGCAACCATGATGGCCTCATTGTGGATGAGATAAAGAGATCTCAACACCTGTGGAGAGATTATGAAGCCTTTTGTTTACCTATGCAACCGCAAAATTTTTCCCCACATTGTGTGTTTCTGCTTCATCTTTCTCAAAGGGGATGAAAGTCTCTATTGTAAGCCTGCTGTGTAACATCTTAATTCTAAGACTTAGTGTTAAATGGTATTGCTCTATAACATTAGAAGTCCTAATGCTATAGTCAAGAAGTTTGATTTGTACTGAATACCAGAGTTCAAAAGTCAACATGGTATTGGCCATAAAATGAGAATGATCTACAAAATTCTGGAAAATTTTTGGCAGGGCATTTAGTTGTCACTTAATCCATATTCCATCCTTCCGTGTAAAGAGCATAACTTTGCCTTCAATCAAGCAATGATCATGAAGCTTGGTGTGTATACATTGGTCTTACTAAGAGGATTTACAGTGTACTAAAGGAAGGGCCCAAAACCCTTTAATCACAGAATTATTGCCCATTGCTGAAATGTAAAATTTTGTGTCCAATAAAGTTGTTTTGGGGGTAATTAATCTGTTTCACTGATATTCTTTTTTTTAGTTGTAAATATCAAAATGTTGTTTAACCTGAAGTACAGGAACAGCCCCTACAAAATGTTGTTTAACCAGAAGTACAGAAACAGCCCCTACAAAATGTTGTTTAACCAGAAGTACAGGAACAGCCCCTACAAAATGTTGTTTAACCAGAAGTACAGGAACAGCCCCTACAAAATGATGTTTAACCAGAAGTACAGGAACAGCCCCTAAAAAATGTTGTTTAACCAGAAGTACAGAAACAGCCCCTACAAAATGTTGTTTAACCAGAAGTACAGGAACAGCCCCTACAAAATGTTGTTTAACCAGAAGTACAGAAACAGCCCCTACAAAATGTTGTTTAACCAGAAGTACAGGAACAGCCCCTACAAAATGTTGTTTAACCAGCCCCTACAAAATGTTGTTTAACCAGAAACAGGAACAGCCCCTACAAAATGTTGTTTAACCAGAAGTACAGGAACAGCCCCTACAAAATGATGTTTAACCAGAAGTACAGGAACAGCCCCTACAAAATGTTCATGAATGTATAAACTTCAAAACCCTTGAAACAAATTTTGATCCTCAGTGTTGAATGACTGTAACTAGATATTTAATCACACTGGTTAATGACTCGGGTCTACGAGCTAGAATCGTGTATCACTGATAGTACAAAATATTTACCTTTACTGAATTTGTTGTTGTTTGTTATTTTTACAGATCCAACATTCTGTCAGCTCGTGATCCAGATGTGGCCCCTTATGTCATTAAAAAAGTCACAAGTGAAACCGAAATATTTAGCAAAGGTCATAGCTAAAACGGCAGGTAAGGATTTTAAGATAGAAAAGAAAAGATCAAAAATGTATTTTTATAGAAAACCAACATAATATTTTTGCCTACTGTATTTTCAGCCTATAAATTGCACCTGAGTATAAGCCGCAGGACTGGTTTTTCAGAGATTTTTTTTTATCTTTATCCACATATAAGATGCACTGGAATATAAGCCCTTTCTGATATTGTGGTAATTGTTATATTGACCGAAGTTATTGTATAACAGAAAACGGAAGGCGATTTATCAAGATTTTCAGTGAAACATTTTACTATAAGTTTGCAAAAGAAATATTCACAGATAATCCTTTATTATATTGACATGTTTCAAAAACGTGAAATAGCAATTATCAAACTTGCTTGGCTTGAGAGCCTTCAAAGACTGTCTACAAACAGAAATAGGGCTAGATGTTACATAGAGTTTACTTAATATCTCCAATAGTGTCTGTAATGTTAAATAGTAGCAAAGACTCTTGCATGCTTACACAATTCTTCTAGTCCCATATTATTTTTTGTAAGTTACACAAGCCATTTTTATCGTAAACAAGCATTGCGGTTGTTCTAGAATTTGACGCGATAACCTATCGATCCCAGGATGCAATAGGCTATTGTATACATTGTAAGCTATATGAACTTGTGTCCAACCCTTTTTGTCATTTTACAAGGCAAATAAAATGTGTTTAAATCAACAGAGAATTTGAGATGCATAATTTACTAGTTTTCGCAATGGTTTTAACAACAATAACGATGCATGTGATGATTTCTTTATTTTTATGATTATCTCTTTTATTTTTTAAGTGAAACAAAATAATACTGTTGCATTTGAAAAATTGTTCAACTTTGGTATGACTGAGTGTCATTACCCTTTGTAGATATTCTATATGTAGAAATAAAGTCCTATGAACATAATTCTGCTGTGTATGGTTTGTATACTGTGGCAGAAGTGCCAACTAAACATAATTATGTATATGTAGTATTTGGAGTACCTAGTTGTCTCTTTAGAGACAAGTGGTTCTTTATTTCATTGTCGTAGAATTATAGTAAAATTCACATGCATCCACAACATCAAAAATGTTTCACAGGTATACAAATTTCAATTGATGTTCAGTTATTTAGCTTTTTAATAGTCACACCTTTAAAATGTGTAAAAAAAAACCTTGAAATATGCATTTATGTCACTCTGAAGCAGTGAATGTATTTTACTTTCACTTTCTTAGGTGTAGCAGCCAGTCAGCTGACAGAAGAGGTGTTACCGAGGTTACTATTTGATAGAACTATAGAACCCAGATACAGAATCCACATTCCTCGAGGTAAGACAGAACCCAGATAGAGAATTCACATTCCTAGAGGTAAGATAGAGCCCAGATACTGAATCCACTTTCCTTGAGATAAGACAGAACCCAGATAGAGAATTCACATTCCTAGAGGTAAGATAGAGCCCAGATACTGAATCCACTTTCCTTGAGATAAGATACAACTTAGATACAGAATCTACATTCATAGAGATTTGATAAATCCAGTTATCTATATGTGATAAATAGTATATATTGACATAGCTATTGTTCAGTATTAAAGTTTTCAGTGATATCGGGATTCTTCTGTTTCAGGAGAACGAATGGTTGTAAAACTTGACAGCATCCAATTCACCAATAGTAACACATTGTTCCTGGACTACCTCATCTGTAACTGTCTACGGAGTATCACACCTGTCTACGTGTCTGTGTCTAACATATATATCAGGTATGAAAACAAGTAGTTACTACCCCATCTGTAACTGTCTACGGAGTATCACACCTGTCTACGTGTCTGTGTCTAACATATATATCAGGTATGAAAACAAGTAGTTACTACCCCATCTGTAACTGTCTACGGAGTATCACACCTGTCTACGTGTCTGTGTCTAACATATATATCAGGTATGAAAACAAGTAGTTACTACCCCATCTGTAACTGTCTACGGAGTATCACACCTGTCTACGTGTCTGTGTCTGACATATATATCAGATATGAAAACAAGTAGTTACTACCTCATCTGTAACTGTCTACAGAGTATCACCCCTGTTTACATATTATATATTTATTGGTCACTAGAGTCCATTTTGAAATCAAGAAGGCAGATGGTCTTGGTATTTTGCCAGGCTGGGATGGAAGACCTTGATGATGAGCCAGATGTGTTAAAATCTTTTGACATGCATAGTCTGAATAATCTAAAAGTTCTCCAAGAAGTGCCTTTGCATGGAAATTATGGCACATTTCCATTTTTCTTTTTTTTTCATTCTTTTTCAAGCATTGATAGATGAGTTATCTCCTCTTGTGTGAATTTCTATAAACATACACATGATCTTCCCAAAGAGTGATAAAGTTCCCACAAAAATTCTGTTAGCAAGTGTGCAATTATATTATTCTATCTTATAAAAGGTAACATGACCAAAATCTCTTCTGGAGAAACAAGTACCTGTAGCCTGTTTTTCTGAAAAATGAGCAAAATCTTTAAAATTAATTTCCCTATAAGACAGATTTTTCAATGTGTGCAGTACATTCTTTCACTTCCACAACAATCATGTGATGTCATTAAGACATGACTTATTTTATTACATAAGTGTCATACAATGTTTATGACATGGCTTTATGATATGACACAACAGACCAATTGTGATATTTATCTTTGTTGACATTTATATATTAATGAGTCTAAAATCTTCTGTACTATAACTCATTATATCATCATATCAGTTACTACATCTGATTCATTTATGGTTGTCTTTGGTCCATATTAAGGAGCAAAAAATACTATTGTTATTAAATATTTAACAGGTAGATTTACAAATAGACACACACTTGCCATTTGCTGATCAGGAACTGTGATGGAAGTGTGAATCTTAAGTTAGTTAATATTAATTTTTAATTATTTTTTTATTGTAATGTCATTCTTTTTCTTTGGGCTCAAATTTTGTGGTTTAGAAAAATACCCGTTTTCAATGGCACATAATTTTGTGGGTACATGAAACCACAAGCATAGCTCATATATCCATGTTTTTATATGTTTTGTTGGGCATATGAATTGATGTATTAAGAGGAACCACAAATTAAATTAAAAAGCAAGAGGAAAGTTAAAGATTTTTGTTGTAATTGAGTTTAAAAGACTGGTTTTTAAGTTTTGGCTTGTCGTTGATAATAACTTGCTAGACTTGTTTCGTAAATCTTATATGAAACAAAAACACATTTATGATCCTATTTATATCAGATTTCACTGCTGTAATGACATTTGTGTATGTGTTACAGATCTGACCCTTCACTCGGAGATGAGATCACAGAGTCACTGGCACCATTCATCGTCTTACGAGGACAAGACATGGAGGTTTGAATGTTCTAACATTAGATAATTGTGATTGTATAGGAGAGCAGGGAGAGCTATGATGAAATAGCTCAGGGAGAGCTATGATGAAATAGCTCTAAAGATTTTGCAGTTGAATGTATCTGAAAAGACAGTACATAATTTTTTTAATTTTTTTTTTCAAAATTTTTTTACCCCTCATCACAATCTCTGATATAAAAGTATATCTTTAGTTGAAAAATATTTTGTCTGCAACATGCCTCTCTTTAAACCCTTGATATGTTAAAAAAAGAAATTTAAGTCTTGAGATAGACTGAATCATGAAACATGAAAATAACCATGAAAATCCCATCCACCAATAAGAATATGCCATGTTTACATATTTTTCAAGATGCCGTTAAGAAAGTAATGAACAGATGTGTTTATAATTACAAAAACTAATGACTAATGCTGGCCATTAAATTTGGGAATAAGTTTCATGTTTTTTCTGGATATTACTAGCTTTGGTAGCCATGAATATTTGACATTTTTGTTGTTTTCATGGGATTTTCATGGCTGTCACATCATGGCTTAAATTTTCATTGGCATTCTTCTCGCACTTTGAGTGCTTTTATGAATTCAACAATTAGTCCTTTTGTTTTTAGTGATGATTGGTCGAAAAAGGGTTTCTGCGTGTCAATGGTTTAAAGGAATTTCATTTAACAATTTCATTTCCTTTTTCTTTTGTTTCAGTATGACTTTGCAATAAATTAGTAGTGGGAAGTATTTTCACATCTGTCCATCTGTCTGTCTGAATTCGTAGAGCATGCCGCGTGGCTCATAGAACACTATTCCATGAAGGATAGTCAGTCTTTACATAATTGTTTTACTTCAAGAGAGGAAGCATGATCAAACCAAATCAGTTTTTTTAGAGTTAGTGGTCAAAGGTCAAGGTACTGAGGTCATTCTACGTGCCCTACTTGTGGCAGTTTGTGTTTCTCAGAAAGCTGGAAAATAGACTGATTTTTTGCTAAGATGGTTGTGTTATCACTAGACATTTTACCCTAATTGCTCTGTAATAGCTTGCAACAGAATTCCTGTATATTTTTCGTAATGTAGCCCCAGAAACTACGAAGAGATAAGGCCTCAAAGTGATCCTGACTGTTCATGAGGTGATAAAGCCACCAAACGTACAAAGAAGTGTCATTTTTACGTCTATGATTCAGAGGAAATTTTGCCTTGGAGCAAAATAGTTCAACAGTTAAAAAGTTTAGAAAATGACTGATAGATATGTATACACCTATAGTAACAGGTTTGCTAAATGTTTCAAAATCATGTCCATCATACAATAAAGTCAAGATTTTGTTATTATTTGCAGTACCTGGAGGGGATCTCCTTAAAGCAACTTGAGGATGGTATATTTTTCATGGTGTGTTCAGACATTCAAAAGTTTTCTCACCTGCGTGCCCTTGACCTTCAAGACTGTAACATTTACCTGCAAGAAGGTCGCACGCGCAGCCGGACTTCTGGTCGTCTTCAGATGGTCAGTACTTTAGGGTCATTTGCACACCTCACTCGACTAGATCTCGGCTTTAACTACTTACTGGGATGCCTTGGAGAGCTTCTTGATGCTCTGAAAACTCCACTAGAGTATCTGAGTGTTCGAGGATGTGACTTAAATGAAGAAGATTTAGCAGCATTAGCAGAGTCAAACCACGCTAAACATCTGAGAGAGTTAAATCTAAGTAAAGTGTGTCAATTTTCAATTTATGAAAATGACCGTATCTCCCCTGTATATCTGCTGAGAATCACAAAACATTTCCCTAATGTGAATATCTTTAACCTCACTCAAAACCATTTACCTGATGCGTGCATCTCAGAGTTTTGTACCATATTAACACAGAACTTGACAAAGCTAAAAGCTTTGGACATTTCTGGAAATATTCTGACGGAGAACAACCTGTTAGATATCACACGCTCTATTGGCAAACTGAAGTCCATGCAGTGGTTTAGGTTCACATGTGCTAGCAACTTGCTTGAAGAGCCCTTTATTCCCTTTGATAATTCCGGAGAAATGAAGAAAAAATTCTGTGATACTCTTGCTTCACTTGGACGAGATGATATCAAGGTTGACCTTGTCAAACTGTCATATGCTATATTTGTGGACTTATTGGATGTCATGGACTAAAGACTTGTTTGTCTGCATTCTGCTTTATACTCATTCATTTTAAGCAAAGGTATTCAGATTAGTTAAGACAGCATCAGGCTTTACAAACCAGGTTAACAGACTTCATTTGTACGGGTGTTGGACTGTAGACTCACTCAGTGTGTGACAATACCTGTACAGGTAGACTCAGTATGTGACAATACCTGTACAGGTGTTGGACTGTAGACTCTCTCAGTATGTGACAATACCTGTACAGGTGTTGGACTGTAGACTCACTATGTGACAATACCTGTACAAGTGTTGGACTGTAGACTCACTCAGTATGTGACAATACCTGTACAGGTGTTGGACTGTAGACTCTCTAAGTATGTGACAATACCTTTACAGGTGTTTGACTGTAGAATCTCTCAGTATGTGACAATACCTGTACAGGTGTTGGACTGTAGACTCACTCAGTTTGTGACAATACCTGTACAGGTGTTGGAATGTAGACTCACTCAGTATGTGACAATACTTGTAGGCGTGTGACTGTAGACTTACTCAGTATGTGACAATACCTGTACAAGTGTTGGACTGTAGACTTACTCAGTATGTGACAATACCTGTACAAGTGTTGGACTGTAGACTCACTCAATGTGTGACAATACCTGTACAGGTGTTGGACTGTAGACTCTCTCAGTATGTGACAATACCTGTACAGGTGTTGGAATGTATACTTACTCAGTATGTGACAATACCTGTACAGGTGTTGGACTGTAGACTCTCTCAGTATGTGACAATACCTGTACAGGTGTTGGAATGTATACTTACTCAGTATGTGACAATACCTGTACAGATGTTGGACTGTAGACTTACTCAGTATGTGACAATACCTGTACAGGTGTTGGACTGTAGATTCAGTATGTGACAATACCTGTACAGGTGTTGGACTGTAGACTCAGTATGTGACAATACCTGTACAGGTGTTGAACTGTAGACTCAGTATGTGACAATAAGTGTACAGGTGTTGGACTGTAGACTCCTCAGTATGTGACAATACCTGTACAGGTGTTGGACTGTAGACTCTCTCAGTATGTGACAATACCTGTACAGGTGTTGGACTGTAGACTTACTCAGTATGTGACAATACCTGTGCAAGTGTTGGACTGTAGACTCCCACTGTGTGTGACAATACCTGTACAGGTGTTGGACTGTAGACTCACTTTGTGTGTGATGATACCTGTACAGATATAGGACCATAGATTCACTGAATGACAGTTTTTGTTCAGGTGTTGGACTTTCCATGCAAAACTATGAATGGTGTAGGCTTATTATGGCTGCAAAATCACTGTACAGCAAGTTGACATGGTATAGACTGTACTGACTTCTGACAATACTTATACATATCTGATCAACAGAACCCATGTTAAGAAATCCTTGAACACTCTCTGATTACTTAATGAGCTGCAGTGCTAATTAGCTTTAGCACAGACATAACTGAATCTGATGTCTCACTTGTCATATGGATTCATAGTCAGTCTTAAAAATAAACCATTTTTGATAAAATAACTCACTCTGTGTCATCTGTATCAATGACAGAGATCAAACATTGAAATAATACATCTGTATAATTGTAGTGATTGAAACAAATGTGGACGTGTATCTATAGCAACGTTGTCATGTCAGTAACAGTTTTGCCAGTTTAAGGTTACTACTAAAACTCGCTTACATGAAGAATAACTTAATGCACTTTTCAGCATTTGTTAATGATGTTTTTAAATGCTTATGAAATTGTATAGTTTAATTTTGACTTTCAATCAGCCCTACAACTTTTAGCAGTTATAAATTCTCAAAGTCTCATTGTGACCTATTGCGTTCATCTTTATCTGGTGTTGTGCATCCTGCATCTGTAAACAATTCAACATTTTCAACTTTTTTTCAAAAACTCCTGTAATGATTTCAATGAAGTTTTGCAGAAACCTTTCTTGGCCGAAGATGAAACAAAACAGTGAATTGTGTGATCTCCACCCCATGAGGGCATGAGGGGTGGGGCCAAAAGTGTCAGATTTGCTCAAATTTCAAAAATCATCTTCTCAACACCCATATATGGCTGTAACAAGCTCTTCATGGATGGAAATATCTTAAGGTGCTTTACCAAAATTGTGAATTTCATGGCCCCAGGATCTCACATTTCGCCTTGAGGAGGGGGTAATGTTTACTATAGTTTATATTGGAAAAATAAACTTTTGAGAATAATTTGTTTAATTATCGTTGGAAATATTCCAAACTTGGTTAGAATTATGAACAAAGGATGATGGCATGCCCATATTGATTCTGGTTGACCACCCCAGGTGCTGATGAGTGGTGCCAAAAGGGTCAAATTTACTCAAATTTCAAAACTCATCTTCTCAACACCCAGATATGGTAGTATCAAATGCTCTTCATTGATGGAAGCATCATAAGGTGGTTTACAAAAAATGTGAATTTCATGGCCCTAGGGTCTAGCATTTGCGTGTGGGGAGGGGGTTAAGTTAAACCTTTATATTCAATATTGCTTATCTCGCAGGATGACCATCCAGGCTGCTAGGCCTCTTGTTGGGGACTTTTTATCTATTATAATCGGTATTACAAACTGAAAATAAATTCTGTTGCAATTAGTTTGAAATTAAGTAATAAAGTCATGGAAATAATTGTAAACAATAAAAGCGATGGGAGGAGACAGATTGTCAAATGGTGTCAACACAGAGAGTGGGCAGATAGCAGATTGGACACATATGAGGAATTTTCTAAAACAACAGAAAAAAAAACAAGTTTGTTGGAAATGACCTGTTGCAATGGAATTAAGGACAGCAGTGGAATGGAATTGTGTTGATTTGTGTTCAGATGTAAGTTTTTCCAAACTCACACTTACTCAGCTAATTGGTTAATCTTATTGTGCATGTGATTTTTTTTTCCCATTAAGAGTTATGCCCCTTTGACATTCGTTGATCATTAAGTTGGAGTACTTGAACAATCCATAAACTTCAGCAAAATTTGTTATGGACTTCTCTGGAGAGTTTTATCAATGAGGCTTGGTGATCTGATGATGACAAAGCCATTGCAGTCGGCTTTAATGCATTTATAACAAACAAAGTGATTGATTCAATATTTATTTTCGTGAGAAGACAAATAATTATTACAACCAAGAAATTATTGAGTTTGGACGGATTTATACAAATAACAGCATATCAACTTTCATAAAATTACACAATGATAAATAAATATGTCGGTCAAAAACTATTACATCACTTTCACTCCAGACGACTTACAACTATCATAAATTTGTGTTAAGATTTCTGTCACAAGTTTGAGATAACATCTCATCAAACCCTAAGATCATGAAATTACCAATAATATGTCCAAATCTCATCTGTTCAATAAAAAAAATATGAAATCATTGGTTTTGCTATGATCTAGCATCATGAATGAGCATATCGGTGTGAAGTTTTCTGCAGGAAACATTGAAACCATTTTGATATTCCCAGTTTGGAAAGGAAATTCAGTGACTTTGATTGCATGTTATTGCATGTAGAATTAAAAAATCATTTGTTTGTCTGTAAGAATTGGTATCTTCATGAATATTGCACAAACTAAACAAAGCATTTATTTTGAATCATTTTTGAAATATTGGTTGAAAATATGCATGCAGGATATTGATTGACATAAAATATATTTGAATTTTATATTTTACTCTGCAGAATCCATAAATCTAGCTTCTATCAATATGAATAGCCTTGTATACTGCCAATTAAGATAGCATGGCATTTAAATTATCATTTGATGAAAGTGGAATAATTTAATGATAAGCAGTTCATTGTTATGAAGACATTTCTTTTTGTAAGTTATTTGTGTTTTGTGAGATTTTTACAGCACAAAGGTCAGTGAAAATATTACTGCAACATAAACTATTTACCTCCCTGAAAAAGAGTGCTTCACTATAAAAACCATGTGAAATATATTATACAAATGACAATTTGGATATAAATAGCTGGACGGAAAGAACTGAATACTGACATATATATGGGTAGTTAAAAATAACAATGCTTACATGTAGGATATGTAACAAAGCAACTTTAACAAAGATTATAAATACAAAGTGAGAAAGCAGCATGCCTTAACTTTTAAACTAAATATGGTTATGTTTAAGACACAATGCTATCTCTTGACAAATATTACAGGGATTTTAAAGATTGTATATGACATTAACAAACAATACAATGTGTAAGGTAGCATGTTACCTTAACTCTTTGAAAATATATGTTAGGTAACATACTCCCTTAACCCTTCAAAAATAAGAAGTGTATGAGAAGCATAATTTGAATGCTGACATCAAGGTATCAGGTAGCATACATCCTTAACTCTTAAGAAATATGAATATGAGTAATAAAGCATATAACCTTAACTTTGATAAAAGGTATAAGGATGTATACAGAGAGCCTGAATTTACACAGGTGAAATGTTTCAGATGCAAGGTTACATCACCTATAACCCCAACTTGGAGGCAAATCACCAATGTATAAAGAAATTTGAAAAAATTCAAACTATCTTATACACATTGTCGGAAACCCAAGAGATTCTGCTCTTATTATTTCAGTCAGACTACATGTGAAGAGTCTCCTAGGTTTTCAACGACGTCTGATATTATAAACAAAAATATATAACACAACAGACATCATGAGATAAATTATCATGGTCTGTATGTTGATACAAATTGATTGCAACAAATGATTACATTTCATACTAAGGAAGACAAAACAAATACAAAGAAACATTGATAAGAAGAAATAATTCACACAAAACTTGAGCAACTGTATTTTAATAAATTAGTTTTGCACTTTGTTTAAATGTTATAAGTAACACAAAATATGGCTTTTGACAGGTGAGACTCATGTCTTTAAAATATATATCATATATATATCTAGACATATAACCTACAGTGTAAGGTCTACAAATTAGAAAGTTACAAGTACAGATGTGTATAGTTATGCATTTAAAAAAAAAATCCAATATACCCTAATCTAGATGTAATCGCAGCACCAATAGTACATTCTCTCTGAAATAGATACTGGAAAGCATTGGGAAGATCAAGTAATTTTACATGATTTTAATATAAAATTCTATAGAAATTGAAACTGTTATCATTTAATTTACTTAATTCATTTTTACTGTAGAGTTGAGTCTGATGAAGAGGATCTTAAATCATCCTGTACTTGCAATAAACTTAAGATGTTCATTTTATACCAGCACTTTAGGGATACAAAAAAGTATATTCAATTTTCTCTAGTTTTCCTCTAGTTCCTACGGTCCTGTGTTAATTCTTGCTGTAAATAGAAAAAAAGTGGAGAGATGACCAACAAGACACTTGCTAAGAACAGAAAGAAAAGTGGAGGGTTAATGAACCAGACACGAGCTAAAGATAGAAAGAAAAGTGGAGGGTTAATGAACCAGACACGAGCTAGAGATAGAAAGAAAAGTGAAGGGTTAATGAACCAGACACGAGCTAAAGATAGAAAGAAAAGTGGAGGGTTAATGAACCAGACACGAGCTAGAGATAGAAAGAAAAGTGAAGGGTTAATGAACCAGACACGAGCTAAAGATAGAAAGAAAAGTGGAGAGTTAATGAACCAGACACGAGCTAAAGACAGAAAGAACAGTGGAGGGTTAATGAACCAGACACGAGCTAAAAAGAAAGAAAAGTGGAGGGTTAATGAACCAAAGTTATCTAAGTAGAGATAAACAAATTTGTCTGTTTCTCTATCCCATAACCATTCCTCCAAATTAATTATTTTATTGGTTTTGCAGAGAGAACTATTTTGTTTTGAGTTTTGTCTTAAGACTGGTTTACCTTGTATATTCCTACACCTAATTTGAATCAGCACAATCCTAGTACTTCAGTGAAAGGTTATGTTAACTTCAGATTCAATATGAAAATAAATAAATGATATACTAGTATTTATGGAAATTATTTTTTCTTCAAAACTTTTTTTCCCTAACATTTGTAATCATAAATGTTTTTGTAGTGGACGGATTTTAAAGAACCGATACTAAATAAAAACTGTAACAAATAAATATACTATAACCAAACAAAACCAAAAAATGCTATGTACAGAGTAAATACTGACTTTGGTAATTAGATTCTGAACAGTGTCATCTCGCATCATAAAACCAAATCATATGATATACCCCATTTCATCCTTAATAAACTTGAGTCCTGGTCTTTGTAAAGAGTTATTGCCCTTTAATCCTTTTACTATGCAGTAGATGGAACTAAATTAAATGTGCTATGGCTAACATTGGCTTATTTACAGTTAAATACACAAGTAAATTTTCACAGTGGTTATAATAAATTCTGTAGATGGTACCAAGTAACATGTCAATGAGGTCCTGCTGTAACTGCACATCTTGATCTGCCAGGTCCAGCTATTTCACACCAATTATTCATTTGATAAGTAACATGTTTTTATTATGTCTATTATAAACAGTTTTATAGATTTGTTGTATGATGCAAGTTATGACATCTGAACCTGAATACTGTCAACACAAAAACTCTACAGAAACTACAAAAACAGGATACATATATAACGTACATAGAGTTCTAAAAGGATAATCAGTAATAAAGCCACATTTTGTTTGTTTTAAAAAGTATACACGCAAACTGAGTACTGTCCCTTGTATCATCTTCAGCATCCTACCCTTAAGTCTTCAATTTCCTTCATCAGCACAACACACTTCATTAAATTGTCATTTCTCAATCTCCTCTTTAAAATCAATATCTACAAGCAGTTTATTTTGTTCATAAAAGCTAATTTTAATGCTGTGTTCCTTGTCTGCTGATTCACTTGAACCTAAAATCTTGCCATGACACTCTTCCTGGCCTAATTGTAAATGAAATCCCAGTATCTCTACTTCTATGACAATTTTCCTTAAGCCATTATGTAGTTCATAAAGCTGGCAAAGCTTTATGAAAGTTACTTCATGGAGATTATTATTTGAAAAGACCAAGCCCTTAATCAGTAAAGCTGCAATGCAATATGCCCAAGCATGCTTGTATACAAATTTTCTATGCAGACTGGATATTAAATCAAACAAAACTTAGCTTTCATCGAAACAATCGAAAACGAACAAACAAAACTGTCCCACATCAACTTACTTGTTTTTGTCTCATTGTCTAGAACCCAGACTGTATGTAACATTGTCTAGAACCCAAGGCTGTATCTAACATTGTCTAGAACCCAAGGCTGTATCTAACATTGTCTAGAACCCAGACTGTATGTAACATTGTCTAGAACCCAGACTGTATGTAACATTGTCTAGAACCCAAGGCTGTATCTAACATTGTCTAGAACCCAGACTGTATGTAACATTGTCTAGAACCCAGACTGTAGAACCCAGACTGTATGTAACATTGTCTAGAACCCAGATGTAACATTTTCTAGAACCCAAGGCTGTATCTAACATTGTCTAGAACCCAGACTGTATGTAACATTGTCTAGAACCCAAGGCTGTATCTAACATTGTCTAGAACCCAGACTGTATGTAACATTGTCTAGAACCCAAGGCTGTATCTAACATTGTCTAGAACCCAGACTGTATGTAACATTGTCTAGAACCCAAGGCTGTATCTAACATTGTCTAGAACCCAGACTGTATGTAACATTGTCTAGAACCCAGACTGTATGTAACATTGTCTAGAACCCAAGGCTGTATCTAACATTGTCTAGAACCCAAGGCTGTATCTAACATTGTCTAGAACCCAAGGCTGTATCTAACATTGTCTAGAACCCAAGCTTGTGTCTAACATATCTAGACCCCATGTGTATATCTAACAATGTGTAGAATCCAAAGTTGTATCTTTGTCCAGGATTAAAAGAAAAATGTTACTAACAGTGTCAAGAATCCAAGATTGTACCTTACATTTTCTAGAGCCAAACAATCTTGATCTAGGCCACATCTTACAGTCATAAGGTCAGGGATAAATTGACGTTCAAAAAATGTTTACCAAATCATTCTTTGACATTAGGTTAATGAAATTAAGTGAAGCAATCACATTTATTTTATTTGTTTCTAAATGGTAGAGAATTACCACCTGTTAAGGTAAAAAAAGTAAAACATGTTTTTCTCACCAACTGTTACAGGTAGAGTAAGCCAACTTGAACTCTTTTAAAACAAAATCTAACTGAATAAATAATTTTTTTCTTAAAATTAACAGGAAAAAATCTACATTATTTTCCATATTACTTACTCCTTACTTTTTAAAAAACAAAACCATCTAGGTGTATTAACAAAAGTATCACAGGACCATGCGCACCATACCAAGCTCAACAGAGACATAGGAATAAACTGTAAATGTGCTGCATCAATACATGTACCAGTTAACTTTTCTATGGGAATTATATCTAAACAATAACACACAAGACTATATTGTATATAAATGTAATAATGCATGTGTTCAACAAACATAACATATACACATATGTTCACATAAGTGTGAAATATAACACATATATAAATGGGTATGTGTCACTAAAACATCACTTTTTAAAACATTCAAGCAAGTAAAAATAAATTAATGTTTTATGGTGACAAACATATGATTGTCCTTCTGGGATTGCCCTGCACTGTACAGTTATAAGTGTGTTTGTGGTTTGGTAACAGTAAAATATGTGTATAACTGGTGGCCAGCTAAATCCCATATTCTACGTAATAAGTACACTTACATCTCAATGCACACTTGAAATCTTTCATTCCAAGAAATAGCATAGTTACACAAAAGTCCCCGAAATATTTGTTTACTTCACCAATCTAACAAGTAAGTCCCTAAAATATTTGTTTACTTCACCAATCTAATGAGTAAGTCCCTAAAATATTTGTTCACTTCACCAATCTAACGAGTAAGTCCCCAAAATAGTTGTTCACTTCACCAATCTAACGAGTAAGTCCCTAAAATATTTGTTCACTTCACCAATCTAATGAGTAAGTCCCCGAAATATTTGTTTACTTCACCAATCTAATGAGTAAGTCCCCGAAATATTTGTTTACTTCACCAATCTAACGAGTAAGTCCCGGAAATATTTGTTTACTTCACCAATCTAACGAGTAAGTCCACAAAATATTTGTTTACTTCACCAATCTAACGAGTAAGTCCCCAAGGTAATGGTTTACTTTACGATCTAACGAGTAAGTCCCCAAGGTAATTGTTTACTTTACGATCTAACGAGTAAGTCCTTAAGGTAATTGTTTACTTTACGATCTAACGAGAAAGTCCTTAAGGTAATTGTTTACTTTACGATCTAACGAGAAAGTCCCCAAGGTAATGGTTTACTTTACGATCTAACGAGAAAGTCCTTAAGGTAATTGTTTACTTTACGATCTAACGAGAAAGTCCTTAAGGTAATTGTTTACTTTACGATCTAACGAGAAAGTCCTTAAGGTAATTGTTTACTTTACGATCTAACGAGAAAGTCCTTAAGGTAATTGTTTACTTTACGATCTAACGAGAAAGTCCTCAAGGTAATTGTTTACTTTACGATCTAACGAGAAAGTCCTCAAGGTAATTGTTTACTTTACGATCTAACGAGAAAGTCCTCAAGGTAATTGTTTACTTTACGATCTAACGAGAAAGTCCTCAAGGTAATTGTTTACTTTACGATCTAACGAGAAAGTCATCAAGGTATTTTTACTTTACGATCTAACGAGAAAGTCCTCAAGGTAATTGTTTACTTTACGATCTAACGAGAAAGTCCTCAAGGTAATTGTTTACTTTACGATCTAACGAGAAAGTCCTCAAGGTAATTGTTTACTTTACGATCTAACGAGAAAGTCCTCAAGGTAATTGTTTACTTTACGATCTAACGAGAAAGTCCTCAAGGTAATTGTTTACTTTACGATCTAACGAGAAAGTCCTCAAGGTAATTGTTTACTTTACGATCTAACGAGAAAGTCCTCAAGGTAATTGTTTACTTTACGATCTAACGAGAAAGTCCTTAAGGTAATTGTTTACTTCACTTTCCACTGTTAATACTTTTGAGAAGTTGACTCTATTGTGTTTCAGTGCTTACCAAGTAGAATACAGCATGTTTATGGATTTTGTTTGTGTACATGGTCCTCATAACTATTAGGAAGTCACATAGAATCACTCAAAGTAATATCAATCTACCAAGACTATATGCTTACAAACATGCAGCCCCTTTCATTCTGAAACATGGGGCGAACAGGTACAATTTTATCTTAAATTTATCCCATGTTTGACAATAAGTCCTCTGTTGGTCTGTCCTGAAGAATAAACCACTTTGAGTCAGAGGATGACCTGATGCCCTGGGTTTACAGCGGAACAGATAATATATTTATCATATACAACGTATCATAACTTATCATAACCTCAAACATCCCAAGTCAGTATCTTAAATATTAATGAAATGTCGATCTTAAAAATGCTTCACTCATATATACATTCAAATTATAATATGAATGCTTACATTATAGGATTGATACATGACACATTGTGAGGTATCCCACAGTTACAACAAGCAAATTTGCTTGTGGTAGAATATCAAAGTGGTATGTACAATTTGTTTTGAAATGAATCAGGTTAATTTTACATTGTGTTTCTATCTTTATGAGAGTGTATTAGCATACAATTAAGTTTAAAATTTATTTCCTTCAATTTGTACATTATAATGCGAGTCTGCACAAAAAACATTTTCTTAAAACAAAGTTATTTCCCTATGGGTGGCAAGAATTTATTGGACGATGAATCATCAGCCAATCCACTGTCCTGTTTCTGAAGCTGTTGGCTGAGATTGAGTTTGACCACCTCCTCGGTAACCACTTGACCTTCAGTGTTGGCATCGGCGGTGCTGACTGGGGGTTTGCGAGCACTCTTGGTGACGGATTTAGCACTAGGAGCTGTAAAGTAATTCGGGCCTGTATAAAACAGAGTGGGAACAACAGGACTGTAACAACACCACCACCAAGCAAGCACATGCAGGGTAAATACCAAGCCTCACTTATCCTGTGTATAACTGACCCTTTGTACCTCTTCATCTAGTGACTTGTTGCAACCTTAGCAGTTAATTATTTTAGATACAATTTCGAAAAAACTCTTTACTTTAATTTTGACAATATTATGCATTTTTGAATGAACCACCAATTCCTACAGTCATTTCTCCAAGCAAAGTATTTGTCTTAGTTAACAGGCATTTCAGCCTTTGAATTTAACACCTGTTAAAGTATGTATTTACAAAAGTATTAAATGTGGAAAGCATCTATGATGAAATTTATGTCAATAAACATCAGTGACTGAAACTGCTGATGCTTTCTTTATAGCAACATAAGGTTGTCTTCCTGGGACAAATTCTCTACACAGACAAGTGAGTTGAGATATACAGCAAAGCAAAAAATCTAAAAGTAAGTAGTTCACAAAGTCATGTTTTCTGAGGAAAGAAAGTTTCATCACTTAGCTGAATACATGAAATATCCTTCAAAAGTACTAACAGGTATAAATATAAACTTTGCAGTTTTAATAATATAGTCTGTTGTCTGACCTTTAATCTGTTTTTAAAAAAGATCAAAAGAATAGAGGCTAAAAATTCTAAATTTTGAAGTTAATTCAGTCACACATATTTTCGAAATAAATTGAATGAATGAGTATGATTTTTAGAACTGACATGAAAACATTTATTCTGATACCTGTTATGACTTTGATGTAAAAGTTAAATGAAAAGGAAAATTCAAAAAGATTCTTTATTTTATTCAAACCTCTTTCCTTGACAAAACACACAATGTATAAAATAATATCCATAACATGTAAGTAAAAACAAAAAATCATGCCAGAAATAAAACTATTGTAGTATTGTCTACAATACATTGTATGTTTTTAGTTTAGAGTATAATTTTGCATGCTCTATAATGAAATGATAAATGCATATGTTGTGAACTACAAACAATTCATTATACAACTACAAAACTACTTCATATATAACATATTTAGAAACATGACATAACTTTGTATTTGTATATAGTGTATTGTTGTTGGGCGTCACACAAATTTCCATTTGATAAAAGCCATGTCTATCATTATGATAATAAATTCTGACTCTTAAAAATATGTCAAAACAAGATTTAAATAATGTGGAAGATGGAGAAAGATATGGCTAATGTTTATCAATGTTTTCTCTGAGTTATCAGTGTTATATTACCACATCTTAGACAGAGATATCTCACTAACCAATAATCCTACTGTTTCAAAAGTGTTATTACATCTGGAGGCTGAGTAAAAATGTTCTTTTCCATTTAGTCTGTCCATGTATATCTTAACTGCTGTTCGGCGGAGTTAACCACTGAAACTAATTAATTCCATTGTCCCATAAATAAATAACAAAACATCCCTTGTAACTTTATCAGGATAATTAACACAGATAAAATTTCAGATTTCATATCAGACCCAGATTTCCAGTGTCTGGGCTTTTCATACAAAACCATGCAGAATTTTGTGCCCATTGCTGGTAAAACAAAGAAATTCACTGTAATTTTTCAACATGCAGTAACTTCTACTGATTTTCAGTATAAATGTATCATTCCCTCCCTTGACTGAACTCTCAATGATTTATTTTTTGTCACCCAGATGACAATCTGTCAACGATACTAGCTAAGTAGGTTAGAGAAATCATCATAATGATGGGAATTCCTGGAATAAAATCAGTGGTGTGTGTGACTGATTTGGAAATATATTTTTGGCTAAGCATATCCTACAGAATATTTCAAACAATTTATCAACAAATCATCAGCCAGTCTCCTGATTTATCAATTATCTGTGCCTAGATAACATTTCATACTAGCTTTAAAAAACTGAAAACTAATATGATTAGTGCAAGGAAATGTGTATGTAGTTCAAGCTAAGTTCACACCAATATATAGCCCTAATAAGGAGTTAGTTTACCTTACTTTTCAAGCAACTTGGAACATCATAGTTTGACACAACACTGTTTTAACACAAACCAGAGCCTATGTTATCCAACGAAACATCAACAAATATTTCTAGGAAATCAAGACATTCACGACCCAATCTAACACAAGCATTCTACCTTTTCCTCTTCTTAGAACTTTTTCCCTTCATTGGAAAAAAATATTCACAATCATTTGAATCTTTTTTATATATTTCTGTACTTTAAACATGGTATATACACTTCTATCATTATCTACAATATGTACTTGTATAGCTAGATGTCTGCGAATCTAGTGTTGTAAAACTAAGTAAATCAGGGCTATTGGCAATTACAATTTTATTTTTAGGAGAGTGATGCTAATCAAAATCATATAAGATTAAAATTTTTTTTTCTACATAAAACTTTTGTTTATTTGACAACAAGCACATGTAATATTCAGGTAAACAGTCTTATCAATATCAAACCACAAATCAGTATATATCCTGGCGTGTAATCAATCGGTAATTATCAGAAACAATTGTTTTCAGTGGATAAACATTGTGTGATCAGTCGGTGTACCGCAGTCATAATCGATGGGACCATGGGTGTAAACAGGTGTGTAAACAAGATCTGCATTATTAATAATTATTGTGAACCTGTAGTCGGATAGAAATACGGATCCAATCTTCAATCGACAGGATGGTCCGATCAAGCCTAGTGTCCACAGTGTCGCTAACGACTGCGATCCCATCATACTTAGCATCACAATGGGTACTTACCCTTTGTTATGTTTAATAATATATAATTATATATCGTTGACACCAATTTAGCGTATCCATGTCGAGCCTCAGACTACCCGACTCCCGACTAATGTCATTACCGGTGGACGTTTCCGGTGTCGGCAAAGATTACTTGGTCAAATTCCAAAAATACAGCAGAAATAAAAAAACAGTAAACTTTATACATATCTAGATTTGATTACAAAATAACAAACGCTATATGAACATGAAATACAGCAGACAAAAACCAAAATTTTACTGTTCTATAAGCATTGAAATTGTAGCAGGCAGTCTGTGTGCCTTATAATATGACAGGAGTACAGCAGAGAATCTTCAGCACAAAGGTCAAGGTCATCAATGTCAGCATCAGAAAAAGAAAAGTCAAAGTCAGGGTCATCAAAATCAGTATCAGAAATATGAAGGTCAAATTTGCCTAGAAATAGAAATGACAGTGTTGTCAAGGTCTTTATCAGATAAAGGAAAGTCAAAACAAGGGTAGTCAAGGTCAGCATTAGAAACACAAAGGTCATGGTCATAGTAAGTAAGGTCAGCATTAGAAACACAAAGGTCATGGTCATAGTAAGTAAGGTCAGCATTAGAAACACAAAGGTCATGGTCATAGTTAGTAAGGTCAGCATTAGAAACACAAAGGTCATGGTCATTGTTAGTAATGTCAGCATTAGAAACACAAAGGCCATGGCCATAGTTCGTAAGGTCAGCATTAGGTTAGTTTGGGGCTGGTAAAGTCAGAATTAGGAACCCAAAGGTCAAGGTCAAGATTAGTTTAGTCAGCATTGTAAACTCAAACTTATAAACTGAGGTTGATAAGGTTAACATTAGAAACACAAAGGTTAAGGTCAGTTTTAGTAAAATCAGTAATAGAATCTAAAAGGGCAAACGTCAGGGTTAGTAAGTTCAACATTAGAAACATAGAATGGAAAGTTTAACAAACAATACAACATGTAAATGGTAACAAATAGTTAGTGAAATAACATGAAGTTTTAGGTTAGTAACAAAATGATCAAAGTCTGAGTTAAATAATATATGATTCAAATAAGTTGTAATGTCAAAGGTCTTATATGGAGTTACTTTTACCATACGGCATCTAAAGATATGTTTAATAGTGTCAACACACTTACAAGTACTGTATCATCTAAATGATATATGAACAAATATAAGCATAATTACATTTAAATTATTTTGCCATATTCTGGAGAAAATATAGGACACGATCGTAGTTTTTTTTCTTCTGTAATTTAGAAATGCATTAATTCTTTTCTAATTCTTGCCTTTTCTTTTTAAATCTGTTGTGATACTCTACATACCTCGAGCTACTTCATCGTGTTTTTGCTCCGCCGACGCCCCCACAGGAGGGACCCGTTCCCTTACTTTGGCACTCTTTCTCTCCTTCAGGTTCACCTTCCAGTTCTCTCCGCTCTTTTGGCGTTCTATCAAACAGACAAACATCATGCTTCTTTTTGAAATATTTTCTGAATTTTTGTTTTCCTCAATGACAGTTATAGCTTTTGATATGCTGAGCTGATCTCTTTGTTAAACAACAGTACCTAACACAGAATACTAAACCCAAGTTGTTAGTGAGACAATATGACCGATCATAAACAGAAATTATTACACTAGATTTGAAGTTCTTATACCACAACCTGTAGAATATTAGAGTGTGGCGTTTTGATGACTACATGATCACCTTCATCTTAAATCACAACCAGTAGAAGATAAGAGTGTGACGTTTCAATGACTACACGGTCACCTTCATCTTATAACACAACCAGTAGAAGATAACAGTGTGACGTTTCGATGACTACACAGTCACCTTCGTCTTATAACACAACCAGTAGATCATTAGAGTGTGAGGTTTCGATCACTACACAGTCACCTTCATCAGACAAATGAAAAGACAGATCATTTTACCCTTACAGGGGGCTGTGCTGGAACCTTATAGGGATCAGGTTTGTACACTTAAAAAGACCTACCATTACCCTTTACAGGGGGCTGTACTGGAACATTATAGGGATCAGGTTTGTACACTTGAAAAGACCTACCATTACCCTTTACAGGGGGCTGTGCTGGAACCTTATAGGGATCAGGTTTGTACACCTCCGAGGCATTGGTAGATTCAGACACAGCTGGTGAAGTTCGATGTACAGACTTCTGATTACGATTTGACTCGCGTCCTCTACGATGAACCAACCCTTCTTTAATCCATTCATGTTGCAGGGCCTCCTCTGGTGTCAGCCTTATACTGGGGTCCCATCTATAAAAAAAAAACCAACAAATGTCACAAACAACCAAGTCAGTCACATGACATCAACAACCTAGCTAATCACATGAATACCATAGATGTTTAATCTGTTTCCTTGTGATTATAAAGAAAAATTCTCTAAAGATTTATACAGTCAGACCTGTCTATAAAGGCCAACCAAAGAAAAAACTGCATTTATTGGTAGCTAGGTTTGACTGTACAGTACAGCCAGATTTTTTTGCCCCAGCTTACTTTTTGCCCTAGTGCCCTTATCCTGTTTATTTATCCCTCAGGAGATATATAAAATGAGTACAAAAATGTAAAAAAATTTGCCCCCATTTTATGATTGCCCTCACTATTCATAGACAAAAATGGTGAAAATTTAATTATGGTGAAAATTTAATGATGAAAATTTACTTAACGTATGGTGAAAATTTCCCAGTCTACAGTATTTACAATGAGTTTAATAAAAAAAGGTATCTGTTGTACTGGTGGTCTTTAAGGACAGGTAGAGAGAGATATTTGTTGGTATCTGTTGTACTGGTGGCCTTTAAGGATAGGTAAAGTGAGATATTCGTTGGTATCTGTTGTACTGGTGGCCTTTAAGGACAGGTATAGAGAGATATTTGTTGGTATCTGTTGTACTGTTGGCCTTTAAGGACAGGTAAAGTGAGATCTTTGTTGGTATCTGTTGTACTGGTGGCCTTTAAGGACAGGTATAGAGAGATATTTGTTGGTATCTGTTGTACTGTTGGCCTTTAAGGACAGGTAAAGTGAGATCTTTGTTGGTATCTGTTGTACTGGTGGCCTTTAAGGACAGGTAGAGAGAGATATTTGTTGGTATCTGTTGTACTGGTGGCCTTTAAGGACAGGTATAGAGAGATATTTGTTGGTATCTGTTGTACTGTTGGCCTTTAAGGACAGGTATAGAGAGATATTTGTTGGTATCTGTTGTACTGGTGGCCTTTAAGGACAGGTATAGAGAGATATTTGTTGGTATCTGTTGTACTGGTGGCCTTTAAGGACAGGTATAGAGAGATATTTGTTAGTATCTGTTGTACTGGTGGCCTTTAAGGACAGGTAGAGGGAGATATTTGTTGGTATCTGTTGTACTGTTGGCCTTTAAGGACAGGTAAAGTGAGATATTTGTTGGTATCTGTTGTACTGGTGGCCTTTAAGGACAGGTATAGAGAGATATTTGTTGGTATCTGTTGTACTGTTGGCCTTTAAGGACAGGTAAAGTGAGATATTTGTTGGTATCTGTTGTACTGGTGGCCTTTATGGACAGGTAGAGGGAGATATTTGTTGGTATCTGTTGTACTGGTGGCCTTTAAGGACAGGTAGAGGGAGATATTTGTTGGTATCTGTTGTACTTTTGGCCTTTAAGGACAGGTAGAGGGAGATATTTGTTGGTATCTGTTGTACTGTTGGCCTTTAAGGACAGGTAGAGGGAGATATTTGTTGTACTGGTGGCCTTTAAGGACAGGTAAAGAGAGATATTTGTTGGTATCTGTAGTACTGTTGGCCTTTAAGGACAGGTAAAGAGAGATATTTGTTGGTATCTGTTGTACTTGTGGCTTATAACAATAGATATAGATACATAATAATGTAGCTATGTGTTATATAGGTGGCCTGTAAGATTTGACCGATTTGTCCATGTCAACATGTGACTTACTCCAGACAACGTCGGATGAAGTCTAGAAAATTAGCGTCACTGGTCTTGACAGCCTGCTGCAGATCCTTTGATCCTACACGTCTCTTCTTACCCTTACTGTTGGTGATGCATCGTGGATTGCACTTGGAATCTACAACAGGATTGACAAGGTTAAGTCATCATGTATGTTATGTTATAGACTTATAAACTTCATCAGTTGTAAAACAAGCTAATAATTAGCTTAATCACTGTTGATGGCCAATGACCACCAACAATAATCAAGTTACAATGTTATTCCACGATGTTACTATGTATCAATTCAAGAAATATCTTGTACACAATTAAGCTTTTTTGTAATGGATGGATGTGACATTTGACCCTTTAACCTAGCTAAAGTGGACAGTTACTACATCACAAGAGGGGAGTGAAGATAGTGGGTTGAATATCAGTTACCAAAGAATAGTCTCCTCCTGGTGGCCTGGTCCAAGACTTGTGAGGGTGGTAAACCTAACACTTCCATTATACAAGCAAGTTGTTCCACCTCGTTTTCCCCTGGGAAGAGTGGGTAGCCGGTGTAGAGTTCAGCCAAGATACAGCCAAAACTCCACATATCTATAGCCATTGAGTAAGGATAGCCGAGGATCACTTCAGGAGAACGGTAAAACCTACTCTGGATGTAGGTATACACTGTAAGATAGACATTTTCTAAACATGAGAAATAATACATGATTGAACATTAATACCTGTATTTCAAAGTATTTCTATAAACATACTTCATTTGGAACAATAGAATATTAGTGATTTTTCACTTTTTCGCAAATCAGCACAAATTTGTGTCTCTATAACAATTACTACATAAGCAGCTCATAGTAGTTGTAATCTGTGTACTCATTTCTCAGCACCATACTATCAATGTGAAAAGTACTGAAATATGTACAATCACAGCATCGTTAACATGTTTTAACTAGCATAGTAATAAGCAAATCTTCATTACAAGAGTATAACCATGATTTTTTTAATCTATGATTTTTTTCTTCATTTTGCCAAATTATTCCACTAGAAATTAGATTTTGGCAATTTAACTGATATATATGGATTTTATACTTATACAAACAAACAATTCTTTCCTGTGAATGTATATAAACCTTAACGTTTTTTTAACCTTGACACTGAACCAGAAACCAGATCTATAATTACCTCTTTGATGTTCATAACAACTTGAACCAAAGTCTATGACCTTTATTGAACTTTGACCTCTCTGTCGTAATAAAATATTTTCCTAGGGGAAAAAAAGAAAGAACATATCAATTTGTAGTTCACAAGTGAATGTTATACAAAATTTTTTTTATTAAAAGTGGATGACTATATATTGTCAGACTGGCTAATTATAGGCACGAGATAATTCTAAATTCAAACATGTAGATATCCAGAAGTAACACACTAGCAGACCTGATTCATTAATGTGTAATATTTACTTAGTCAAATATGCCCAAGCCTGTTTAATACTGATTTTGAGGGAATTTATTTTTGTTACTTAATCCAAAAACTTTTACGTCCATGAAATGATTAACAGACCAGAGGCCCATGGCCTTAATGGTCATCTGATTGTAAAGACATATATATGAAAGAGGCCTCATAGGCCTAAACGAAATTGCTCAACTACTCTACAGCTTTCAAAGAAGACATTGTTAGTTCATAAAAACATTTTTTGAAAGCTTGAAATCAGATTCTTTATCTACACTAATACAATAATGTCATTACTTCAGTCCCTTATATTAAAGTACCAGTCTGAAACTTTCTTATGAATGAGAAGAGGTTGTTTGAAGATTCTAACACATTTGACCCCTGTAACCTTTCAAAAGATAAGAGGTCAATCACATTAACAAAATTCACAACTTGTGTTACCAATTCAAATGTGTCTATGTTCACACATATGTATCCATAACATTACTAGGCATTGGAGCTGTCTCTATATATGTAACATGTTAAAAAGAAGCTAGTATGTGTGTTCTTTATAAACCATAATGTGTTTTATACCTAAATGCTTCCATGTGTACTTACAAACAATAAAAAGAAAGGTAGGTGACTGAATTTTATAAAGCAATTTGTTTGAAGCGAATGTTTAAATGTCAGCCATATTGGATTACAGCCTTAGGTTGAACCACAAGTAGTAAAGAAAGCATAGTATTGAAAAAGACTGTCTTGTAATGTAATTACAGCTAAAGGTTATTCTAGATTCTAGCAAGCCAACAATTAATGTTCGTTTAATAAGAACTGATATGGATTATAGTCCTAGTGAATTTTATGAACAATAATTATCCACAAAAATGAAGTGCCAACCTAACTGCAAATTTTTGAAAAAAACACAAAATTTAGTTCTATGATTTTATAGAAAGCCTATGCATATTTATTGCTGTTCAACAAATGCTATATATCACTCTCCTGCTAATAAGCTCACCTTCTTCACTTTGAACATGACTAAAATTGTATGCTGGCTCCTGTGCTGATTACTGGATATATACCATAACATCATGCATAGCTAGTTATTTTTTACAGGAATTATGATTTTGCTGTCATAAATGTAGATCATGATGGCAAAGGGAATGAAATGTTGGATGTCAACATAAGAAAAATGTCTGTCTGTTTACATAAAATTCAGACAAATTGTCAAATTTCTTACTGGTTTTAAATCACAGTGGATTATACGGTCACGCTGCAGCAGCTTCAGACACTGTAGTAGGGAAAAGGCAAATCGACGAATCAAAGCTATACTGAAACCCTGGAAATTGTTCTTCTTGATCAACTCATATAGGTTCATTCTGTCAAGTAACAAAAAAACATTTTACAACTATGCAAGGTAGTTGCTGATCAAATTCTTCTGTGTTGTAGTTTTGCAAAACACAGTCATATTTTCAATGTTATTTTCAAACTTTGAAATTTATTCCTGTTATAGCGATTATGACACAAATCTTTATCAACTTAAGTAACAGAGGTCATTTTTTCACTGTCTTTGCTAGGGAGCAAACCTTGGACCAATCATTTACTATTTATAAGCACTATTGGTGGAGCTAAAGAAAAAAAATCTCCACATATAAGACAGTCTTTTTACAAGGGTGACATCTGTTAATCTCTCATACAGACTAGACATGACCATATTGGTTTTCTACCAGACCAGACCCTATGGGTTTTAAGCTGCACCAGACCATATAGAATTTCTCCTGGACAAGACCATATGGGTTTTTTGTTGGACCAGACCATATGGGTTTTCTGCTGGACCAGACCATATGGGTTTTCTGCTGGACCAGACCATATGGGTTTTCTCTAGAAACCAGTGGTTTCCTTCTGCACATTAACCATCTGCACTAGGATAAGCTAATATAATTTATTTTTTTATTGCTGTGAAACAAATAAAGGTTTTACAAATTTAACATGCAGACACAGAGATTTAAAGTCAGACTTACCCCATGAGTTCGAAGGTAATACACAAGTGGTTACGGAAACAGAAGTACTCTCCCATGTGTATGATATTAAACTGGTTGTCTTTGTCCTTACGACGTAGTGCATCCAGAATCTTTACCTCCACTAAGGCCTGGTGATGGAACCTGGAGAATGGCAGAAAATAAAAGATATGGGGAAAATGGCAACATTAATTCAAACATATTTAACGAAGGATTGGGAGCTTATGATATTGAGGAATTTATCATGGAATGGAAAAGACATAAAAAATTGATTTATCAGTGGATGGGGAGAATTCTTTATTGTTGGGATTATCTGGGGGAGTTCTTGTCATAGAATCACAAAAAACATCATCAAAGAAATTAAACAATAGTCCACTTTATGGTGTGAATCAGGGTTACATCTAGACCAACTTCTGTACCGTTTAACCGTAAAATTCCTTTTAATACAAGAAACTTTTGATTTTAATTTAATGACTGATCCATTTGGAATTTTAAGAAAAAAATATCAAAAGTATTGTATGTATGCAAATTTCACTTTTTGTCTTGATTTATTAAACATTTATAAAAACAGGGAAATTCACTCTCAATCTAGTAAATAGGGAATATTTCTCAGAGACCTAGACTGACCCTGTAAATACAACATGACAATAGGAACATGTATACAACATTACAAATTTATCATTGATTTCATAAAACAAACAATTAACTGATTTATTTTACTGTGTATTAATTAGATATTTGATTCCAATATGTAAGTAATAGATTTTTCTACATTCATTACAACATCTTGACAAAAATACACAAATGTTCGTGCATTGTTACTAATATAATGAGAAATGATGCCTCACAAAGTGGTGATATTAGGATGAGAGAAATGATGTGTTACAAACTAGTGATATAAGGAGAAGACAAATGATGTGTCACAAACTGGCGATATTAGGATGAGAGAAATGATGTGTCACAAACTGGTGATATTAGGATGAGAGAAATGATGTGTCACAAACTGGTGATATTAAGAGAAGACAAATGATGTGTCACAAACTGGTGATATTAGGATGAGAGAAATGATGTGTCACAAACTGGTGATATTAAGAGAAGAGAAATGGTGTGTCACAAACTTGTGATATGAGGAGATACTGTGAAGCTCATAAAATACTTCCATTCATCAGTGCCTCATTCTCTTGGTTTGGGGAATAATACAAAATTACTTCAGACTAAATTTGGGCAATATCTAAAAAGAATTTGCTCTGTTTCTTGCCCCCTCCCACCTGGAGGGCCAGAGATCAACCATTTAAAGAAAATTGATACCTGTTCACACAAGAATGCTTCAGACTAAATTTGGGCAAAATCCTCTCCTGGCCAGTGAGGCAAAAACAGGTAATACAACACCTTACATATATCTTTATTAAAAGTCATCACTGTTATCAAAGACTGCCAAGAAACCAAACATTCTAAACTAGGAGACAATCCTTAATAATTAACAATTAGGTTAGGTTGGAATCAGCTATAATCACGGGCATAGCAACAGCTAGATTGGTTTAAAACTGTACAATCATCGTTATTAATAATTCCAATACTTTTCAAAATTACTTTCACCTAAAGTAGGATACAAAATTGAGTACAAATTTGAGTGTGGCATAATTTTTATAAATATGGGTCATATTTTTGACATTGCAGTGACACAGGACTATAAATGATGGCTCCTGATGTCAATAATACATCTTGTCACCACTGGACCTCATTTTAATATGATGTTTTTTATCACAAAACTGCAAAATCAAAATCAAATCTGGTTAGCAAGTATGTAAAGTGAAGAAAGAGTAGATGAAGGAAACAACAACCAATATTTTACAACAAAAGAACATTACAAACCTTTTCTTGTTTCGTATGATTTTGATTGCTACCATTTGGTCAGTCTTGTGATCATAACACTTGACCACTTGACCAAAGGACCCCTTGCCCAGGACTTCCAGGATCTCATAGCGATACACCATGTGGTCATGCATGACCTTCAAAACAAGCGCAAAACAGCAAGGTCATAACTACGCAAGCATACACAGGAAGGAATAGGTCGTTTGTTATAAGCAAGCATATACAGGATAAGCTATGCAGGTTTTACATGTGTGTTTTTTACATAGTTTAAATTGTTAGTGGTTCAATACCCCCTTCTTTGGGTACAGTTTTACACTGGGGTACAAGCACTATTCTAAATCTCATTTAAACAGAGAAGTCAAATGCTCCAAACCTCAATGAAGTAGGTTTTCACCATTGCTTCCAACTAATTTATACCTCATAGCTAAATACTTTAATGCAATTTGTTTCACAAACTAACTGAACTGAAAAATAGAAAGCTTGACGATCAGACTTAGCTATTGATACCTTGAAACTAATATTACCAACAAATTTACTTTTAAAAAAAATTTGCAATCTCACTTGAATAGAATATTGAATACACATGTGTCTCATTATGTCATGCATTAAATTTTCACAATCATGTTAATGTATTTAAAAAAAGTTCCACTCCAGATTTTCAATCATCCATGACTGTCAAGTTTCTTTACATCTAACCTATACTGTTCTAATTAAACAGAACAAGAAAGATAACTCTATTTTATGTTGTCATTCAGTAATTATTTCCTTTATTATTCCTTATCAATCCAGTGCAAATAAAGAAATTGCTTAATTCAGATAAAACTGTTGTCATGATTAATTACAAAACTTTAATTATGTTCAGTTGGGGTCAATTTTAAATATAACACTATCAGCAAAGGGTATGACCACTGTTTGAGAGGTAAACAGCATTGCAGTACTGTTGCATGGTAACCAACGGAAAGATGTTGTTCCGTTCTTTGTTTACGGCTTGAGCCTGCGCCTGCAACCATATTCAATTGGTAACAAATCAAGTGATTCTATAATGCATTATTTTGTTACAGGAAAGTTCTGTGACACAACTGGGATGTGCTGGCATGTTATCCAGCTAAAAAATGGTGCTGTTGCCATGGTGTCTTGAGTGTGTTAGAATCACTGGCCTTAAGATTACCTCGTGATATTGAATTGCCATTTACTACCACATGTCAGGTACAATGTCCTCCAGAATGAATGAATTGCTCTAAACCATTACACTTCTGACTACAAAGCAGTCCTGTTCCGGGACCCAGCAGTTTCCAAAACACCACCTGTTGCCACTACACTTGTTTCTTATACCACTGTGTTTCATTTAAAATCAGGTAACTTCTGAAAACAAATCATAGTTCCATTGTCGAAGGTCCAATGATGGTGAACTTGGATCCAGTTATGGCAATTATAACGGTGGCATAGCAACAAAGAAGGTCAATTGATGGAACTCTGCACTTTCCATTGGTAGGCTTTCAACCTGTTGTGAACTGTTTGGGAAGACATATGGGTGGTTGGTGGGCACAGTGGTAATGCATTCACCTTTCACAGGCAAGTCTGGGATTGTGAAAAGGTATGGGAATTACCTGCAAAACCACTTGGGTTTTCCTAGGTATCCCTGTTTCCACCCACAGTCAGATCCTCTCGCACTTACATGCAGGCCAACAAGAGTGATACAAATAAGCTGATAGCTTGTTTAGTAATCACTATAAGACAAAGTTTATATTTTATAAACATAGCACATGATGACCAAACCATGGATTTGTCATCCCTACTGCAGTTACCAATCAATTACCCAAGTGTATTAATTGTATATATAACAATCATCCTCTGTGGTCCATTGTAGAGTCTGTCACTTCGGAAGTAAACAGATGATGTCCCAGTTTGATTCATATGAATTGTACTAACACTGCAACCAACGTGCTGTGCCACTTGGTGCCGAAATTTCAAGTTCATCTCAAAACACCTTGAAAAGATCTTCCATTCATGTAGACTTTCACGCTTCAGTGATTTGGGTAACCTCCTTTGAGTTGATCTTATATTGTTTGTCTGTTAAATAACCCCAGTTTCATGGCAAAGGGATCCTCACATTGAAAAAGGGACTAAAATACTGATATATTTTTGGTAGAATGAAATTTTGAAAGGGCAAAGAAAGCACCATCATAGCAAAGAAGTTGTTCTATTAGGGGATCTACCAGGCAATGAAAGCAGATAACTATGTCCTTTGGTTGAAGTTATTTACATCTCTATATGCAAAATGCATGTCTACAGAAAGAAGATTATGACACACATCATACTCTCATATTTACACCACTGTATACACAAAGAGAAGATATGTCACTCATCATACTCTCATATTTACACCACTGTATACACAAAGAGAAGATAATGTCACTCACCATACTCTCATATTTACACCACTGTATACACAAAGAGAAGATATGACACTCATCATACTCTCATATTTACACCACTGTATACACAAAGAGAAGATATGTCACTCATCATACTCTCATATTTACACCACTGTATACACAAAGAGAAGATAATGTCACTCACCATACTCTCATATTTACACCACTGTATACACAAAGAGACGATAATGTCACTCACCATACTCTCATATTTACACCACTGTATACACAAAGAGAAGATATGACACTTACCATACTCTCATATTTACACCACTGTATACACAAAGAGAAGATATGTCACTCAATCATATTCTCATATTTACACCACTGTATACACAAAGAGACGATAATGTCACTCACCATACTCTCAAATTTACACCACTGTATACACAAAGAGAAGATAATGTCACTCACCATACTCTCATATTTACACCACTGTATACATAAAGAGAAGATATGACAATCATCATACTCTCATATTTACACCACTGTATACACAAAGTGAAGATATGACACTTACCATACTCTCATATTTACACCACTGTATACACAAAGAGACGATAATGTCACTCCCCATACTCTCATATTTACACCACTGTATACACAAAGAGAAGATATGACACTCATCATACTCTCATATTTACACCACTGTATACACAGAGAGAAGATAATGTCACTCACCATACTCTCATATTTACACCACTGTATACACAAAGAGAAGATATGACACTCATCATACTCTCATATTTACACCACTGTATACACAGAGAGAAGATAATGTCACTCACCATACTCTCATATTTACACCACTGTATACACAAAGAGAAGATAATGTCACTCACCATACTCTCATATTTACATCACTGTATACACAAAGTGAAGATATGACACTCATCATACTCTCATATTTACATCACTGTATACACAAAGTGAAGATATGACGCTCACCATACTCTCATATTTACACCACTGTATACACAAAGAGAAGATAATGTCACTTACCATACTCTCATATTTACACCACTGTATACATAAAGAGAAGATAATGTCACTCACCATACTCTCATATTTACACCACTGTATACACAAAGAGAAGATAATGTCACTCACCATACTCTCACATTCACAACTATATCCACTAGATTCACCACCTGATATTATTGAAGTTATTGATAAACTTCAGCTAAATGTTTCTATGATCTATATCAATACTAATTTCTAGGATACAGCAAGCAGTATATAAGCAGCAAGGCATGTAGCTAGCTTATGTATATACAATCTATAACATTACCTCTTCTTATTTCTGATAAGTTTGATTGCAACCTCTGTACCCCGTTTGTGATCAATCGCCTTGATCACTTGACCAAACGATCCTTTTCCCAGAACCTCCAAAATTTCATAACGGAATGCAAGATGGTCGTTAACCAGCTAAAAACAAATTTTTAAATAAGACTGTTCTATAGATTTTCTGGATTTTTTTCATCTTGTACAACTGATAATTTTGTGACTAACATTACCTGTTTTTTTTATAGTACCAAGTTTCATTTCTGTCCTCTGTTTATGTATTTTAGCCAGCAGTTATTCTATTCTCTTAGATATATCTTCAAAAAATATACTCCATATCTGAGTTATCTCTCTTTGGAGATAATGGTAATAAAATTACATGATTTTAATGACTGTTCAGTGAAAAAAAGATTTCATAAAATTTCAAATGTTTCAAAAAAGTTTTAAAATCTTACTTTCAGTCATAGATTTGTATAAACATTTTCACTGGATAAGCATTGTTTTCGTCTTTCCACTTTTTTTTTTTTTTAAAAATCGGTTTAATAAGATATATAGCAATTTAATTTTTCTTTTTACATGTCAGCAAATTCTCATACCAGTAACTCACAATTTAATCAATATGCACATGTTTTTAATGATAAAAGGTCATTTCCAATTTCAAATTGATGAAAAGATAACAACTTGAATCAAAGTTCTGATTTGGAGATTTGGGTGAACTGGATCAAGACAACAAACTCATGTACCTTGATGTAAGACCCATTTTCATCATCATATCCGTTATTCTGTGCACCACCAGGAACGCCCTCTATCTTCTTAGCCTCCAAACCCAAGAACCAGATTTCTGGGTAGTCGAGGATTTCTGTCTGCTCAAAGGCCGTCAGCTTGTTCCTGTACAGCTTTAGGGCCTCTGAGAATCAAAATGATTATAATGTATCAGATATCTGTTGTGAACTGATAGAAAGAAATAACATTAATTTTTATTGCTAAGGTCTGAACTTAAAATAAATCACATATATATATGCTTATTCAAAAGAAATCTCTTCTTGGGCAGGTTTTTTTCTGCAAGTTAAATATTTCTAAACAATTAGCAGAGTATGTGTATTCTGTACTGACTCAGACAGGGCCACTACACAGGACACCAGTACATTTCCAAGACCAAAGACATTTTAAAATTTGTCCTCGGATAAAACCACCAGAGAGACACATTTATTTTTTTTATTCTTTTAGAAGTGAAATTTCTACTCATATATACTTTATATTACTATACATTATTGTAAAACAATTGATACTTTCAAAATAATAATGATAATAGAGTAATGTGTTTATTTATGAAAACAAAACCATTCTTAAGCATCACACAGGATTGAAATTTCATTTCTGATATTATTACTTAATGGCACAACTCCCGGATCGACATAACTTTAAATAAGGCTCTATACACATACTAATTTAAAAAGACAGACCAGTTACTCTTGATTTGCTTTCTAACGAGTCCGAACAATCAAATCAAAATGACTTGTATTAACATCTGCAGGTCTGGCCATATTGACGTCTAAGATTTTACCTTTTAAATGTTGGCAAAATAGTTTCTCTCTAAAACCAAAAGTGGACTAACATGTGATCTTACCCGAGGGAGACATGGGGAGCTTATTGCCATATTGGTCGCGTTTTGTGCGATCGGGCGTGGCGGTGGTGGAGAAGGAGTTTTGCCGCGTGATTGGTTCGGGTTGAGACTTGTTCAGCTGCGGCAATGTATTGGAGTCATTTTCATGGTGACCATGTTTGTGGTGGCTATGATGGTGATCTTTCTGGTGGCTAAGGTGAGGCAGTGTGGTAGGAGCTACAGTGGCTGCAAGTTTACCACCCTGAAACAAAATATTGTAAGGTTAGTTATATTCTGACCACACTAAAAGACATTTTAAACTACCCTTTGAATCTACCTGTCTTGAAAGCAACAGACAACAGAAATTTGTAACATTTAAAAATGTTTGAATCAAAAAAAGGTTCTTTGTAAATGTAGAATAAAACAGTTCAACAGTAAATATATTGTGAAGTTTCTCATGAAGTCCTGAACTGTTTATCAATGATTTCCCATCTGATGACCTCTATAGTAATAACTCCACTATTGTTGAGAGTGAGGACTATAAAATAATCTGTTTGGTAACCTCTGACCTCTTAAGTGATGACCTTTGACTTTTGAGTGAAGGACTTGAGTGAGTCATCCTTTAAGCCCTGATATCCTCAGTATTGGCCTCTGGCTTTAGGAATGAAGGTGACACATTCTGTTACACCTGAACTCTTCAACAATGATGTTTGAATTACATCCAAAGTGAAGGAATAGATGTCATCTTTTGAGACATTTAAAAAAATTGATGACCCTGACTGACCTCTTGATGGATAACTCCAGCCTTGTGCTTTGAGGATGCTTTGTGACCAGACCCGCTGACCTGTGACTGGTATTTGCCCTCCGCATTTATCCTATTGGACCGCTGTATGTTAGCATGCTGAGGACTCTGCAATAAATAAAATCAATTTCACTTAAGACATTTTTGTTCTTTTTGGTTGGTTTTAAATAAATCAATCTATATACATATCATATTTAAACCTAATTTAGAATTGATGCTTTAATGTTCTAATCACAACAGATACCTGCTGCTGAACCGTTATCAGAGTTAGGTAACCATGGTGATCATTACATTGACCTGGAGGGTACAAAGCACTCACCACAATAAATACCTACTACAGAACCGTTATTAGAATTAGGTAACCATGGTGATCATTACATTGATCTGAAGGGTACAGAGCTCTCATCACAACAGATACATACAGTAAAATCCATGAAGAAAGAGCTAGACACCTTAAATGTTATAGTGGCAATGTAATATATAAATCTAGCAGTAGCAAAGTAGCATACAGCCTTATCTGTTATATGCTAAATGTACCTTTGATATGGAGCCAACACTGTCATGAAGTGCATTTCGAAAGTTCCTGCCACAATATATACAGACAGGAGAGGGTACTGGGGACTTAAAGCCAGGAGAGGGTAGTGCTGGGGACTTAGTTGTACAGACTGAGCTGTACCCTGAACCAGCAACATTAAATTGTTGCTGATGAAATGGTTTTATTTCACCATCAATATCAACATTGTAATGAGGGCTTTTTCTTCTGAGCTTTTCCTTATTTGGCAATGTAAATGTATCAGTTACCAAGGGCAGATAATCTGTCCTATTCTTACAGAAGGTTCCCCAATCTTTCTCACTTGTTCTGTTGCCAACAGAACTCCTTGACCTCTGACCTGTGTGAGATAACTTTTGAGATGTGTTTTGAGGAGAGACATACTGAGTATGCCTTTCATCTCTGGATACGTGGCTCAGATGGTGACTTTTCGAGATCTGTGGCAGGAAGTTTGATTCCTCAACATCTGAATTTTGGAGCCTACTCTCAGACCTCCACAAGTGACCATGTGTGTGATATTGGCACAGAGTTTCTGGGGTGCGAGATGGTGATGACCTGTGGTCTATCCCAAGACTGTCCTCCTGATGCCACTGGGTATGTAACTGTTGTTTGTGGTGGTATGGTGTGTGACTTGTCATATACCATCCCTGCTGTTGGTAGTGTGATGGTGATCCAAGATATTCTGTCCTGTTTTCAGGAGTACAAGACATATAACTGCCCTTGAACATATTATGGTTACTAAAATCATCCGATTCTGTCGGTATGTACCTCTGCGAGCAATGATTTTGATGACAGCCGGTCATGCCAAGGTTTGGATTACAGCTATCTGTTGACTGCCATACTCTCTCATCAACTGGCTCAACAGAATCGCTCACGTGATATGAAGTGTCATATCCAGAGTCTATTGAGTTATTTGTATAGTAAACAGGGCGTACATTTTGATTTCTGTGACTCAGTTCCTCACTAGTTTTAACCAGGCCACATTTTACTCTAGGCCCTAGCTCCTGACATGTACATATTGTAAATTTGTTTGTTCTGTGTGGTCCGTGGTTTACATCTTGCCTGAACTCCTGATCATAGGCTGAAGCAGTGGGCATCCTTCTAATTTTTCTAACCTTGAGGGTATCAGTGCTAGACTTATCCTCCATGCCTCTGTAAATCCTATCTGGAGAACCTTTCTGTGGCCTGAAGCATCCATCATGCTTCAGATCTCCTGTGTTCATGTCTTGTCTCCATACATTATTCCCATAGCTTTCTACCCAAGTTTTACGACTATAGTTGTCCTGGTGTCCTTTCTTCACATTACCACCAATATTGCCAGGATGTGTATGTATCAAACCTAGTGTCGTGCCTCTATCTACACTGTCTGTGTCCTGTTCACACACAACTATAGGTCTTACTATGGATGAGGTTTGAATATTCCTTGACATACAAAGAGAAACTTTACTCTTTGCAGATTTTTGAGTATGTTTGTCATAATGTATCATGTTTGTACATTTTTTCTTAGTATGGTCATCATTAAAATGTGCTGGATTATCTCCTGGTTTTACACATTTGTACATACTGAAATATCTTCTCTCAGCCTCATCTCTTTGTAAACTAACATCATGTTCATCATTACTCAAGGTACATCCTCCTAAGGAAGGGGAACTCCTCTGGCTGTCTACGTATAAACTAGGCAGTGATCTCTCACTATCAGGAGTTCTGTCACAGAACTGTCTGTGTAACCTCCCCTCTCGATGAGGCACGCTGTTTACATCTTCACATCTTTCCTTCCTATATCTCAGCTTTGTCACCAGGCCATAATTATGTCTCTGGTCTTGCCTTACTTTGTCTAGATGACTTAAGTCATTATCACATAATTTTCCAGAGGGTGTCCTATTCCCTCTGGAGTCCTTAACACTTTTTCTCACAAAATTTTTCGGTAAAGTGCAATCCTGATGTTTGACATCTGACATTTGACCTTTTCCATCCCATACAACATCAATTTTACTAGAACAAATGTCATATTGTCCTGGACTTCCCTGTAGACTTACTTCTGTCTGATCACACACTTTCTCCACTACACTGGAGATATCACTACCATAACTTTCAGGAGAGACTGCAGACCACAAATCTTGAGCTTCCGATTCCTTGTTAAGTTCAAAACCACCAAGGTCAGAGTCAAGGTCATTTGGTTGGTCATCGTCACATTTCCCCTTACTGAATTTTTTCTCAAATTTCTTACATCTATTATCTTTCTGGTCTTGACCCGTACATGATAATTTCAACAGCTTTCCGAGAAATTTTGTTGTTTTCTTTTCAGACTTTGAAGAAAAATCGGTAGAGTTTTGTTTAGTTGACTTACGGCCTTGACATCTTTTAGTCTGAAATTTTATTTGTAGACCATTTATTACAGTCTTATTAGCAAGTGCACTACCCGGTGAATTTAAATCACAAATTTTGTCAGAGTTTAAAGTGTTAAAGTGTGAGGTATACTTTTTCTTATGTTCAATAAAAACTAAGTATTTATTTACCAGTCTTTCACGAGGAGAAGATTTAACATTATCATTATAAACATTTAAAGAATCTTGCAACTCTTTCCCAGTTTGTTTCCCACATTCACATGTAATATTTTTTTCACTTGTTTGATTAAAGGATTTTTGCAGATCTTTATGCCCAAAGCGTTTTTGCTGCTGTTGTCTAAACAGTCTCATACTAGCCCTTGGTCTGCATGCCTGGTGTACTTCCTGAAGTCCTTTTTCATCCATTAGCATTTTAAATAGTGTTTTATCTCTGAGTAGAAAACCAGGTAGTTTTGCTAATTAATACAATGTCCTACAATCTGACTACGTGTATATGAATGCAAGACTCTGAACTGATATAGTCCTATTACTATGTTCACATGTGGTTTTTCAAAAATCTTGAAAAATAAACAATCAGACTTTACTTTGAATGTTCTTTTACCTTCAAGAAAACCATACAGATTGGTATTTCACCATTAAAACTAAAAAAAAGAGAAAAGTTTAGAGCCAGGAGTCTCAACAATGAAGGTTTTCAATCCATTTAATAACCGGATCCATAACATTGAGACTTATAAATAATAATTGATATCTTAAATCTCGAAAAGTATTGATGAAAAAATTGGTTTTTAAGCAAGATCATGTGTATATATCTAAAGTAAATAGTTTTCATCAACAGTGAACACAGTCATTAACACATTACTAAATGGATCATCAAAATTTGGAAACAAATCTTAAATATACAGGAATATCTCATATCACTACAACTATGCTATCTTGTTACCATGTGACTAGTAAAGGACCAATCAAATCACCTCTAGACGATACTTAATCCCTGTAATGTCCTCCAGCACATCACCATCATACATTGACAAGATCAGGTACAGTACAAATCACCATTAGTTATCCTCCACAGTGACTATGGTCTGCTCAAACGCTAACACAAATAACTGCCACTGTTATCCTCAAGTGGATGTAAGCCTGATTGATTTCTGTCAATTATTTAACAATTCAATACAGTCTGAGTGGAGAACTTCCAAAGGTCAATTAAATTGATTCTTAGTTCCAGTATACATGGAATCTACACCATGTTACAAAGTCCTGGTCTAGTTCTCCTTCATTTGGTATAACTCAAAGTATACAAATTTTAGTATGAGACAAATCCCTGTGATGAGTGACCAGTAATTGACATGACTTAGATAAGCACAGAAGGATACTTATTACAGTGCCATAGACAAATCTAAAATCACCTTCCAAGATTACAGTCATCTACATTGTATGTTTTTTCCTTTATTAATTATTTTAATCTAGGACGAATTCTTCAGATGTGTCCCTCTAATCCAATCACTGGTCAATCCTTCAGAATACTGGACAATGGGTTAAGGAAATACTAGACGTTAAGGGATATAAGCAAATGATCTGGGCTTTTTTTCATTCAACAAGTGAAAACCTTATATCCAGTAACAACTAAATTAGATACTGTTTTATAAAACCATTTAAATATCTCCATTAAATAAAGTTTGATCAAAACAGATATTGCAAAAATTCTTGAAATAAAACAAAAAGGAAAAAATCATTGACTGTAATGAGAGACACTCGGAAATGTTTGTCTAAAGGCCTCATAACCTCCACAAGAATTTCTCCATTTTTCTTTAGTTTATTTTTATTTGATTTAACATATAACAACCCATTTTTTTCAAGTGTTAACCAAAAACTCCTGAAAATGTCCCACTCTTCTGAGCTTTCAGAAAATAACTAGAATCTCTGTTAACTTACTTATTCCTGAGCAACCCTCAGTACACGGATGTATAATCTCAAGACAAACAAGACAATACAAAAATGTTTTTCTAATCTAAACTTAGCGGTGTGCCTGCTTTTTCTACACAGAGAATCAGTTAATGTCTTTAACACTGCTGGGATAATAGAAACATTGTAACATTACTAAATCAATCAGTTTCTGGGGGAACATCATTCTCATCAAATTACATGTACTTTAGAAACAAGCATCCCAATTCTGTTACTAATAAAAGCTTTAACAAAATGAAGCATAGTCCTAATACTCTTTCAAAAGTACATGTATCCAATATATCAGAATTTTTAATCTGACCATGCTTTTTCTTAAAGTTTTCACAACAAAAGTTTCTTGAGTGCAAAGGGGATGATATACATATAAGCATACCCAGGTATATCATTTTCAGAGTGATTTATCAGGATTTTTTTTTTGAAGGATACAGAAAACAGATACTGTTCAAACATCCAGTGTTACACCTCCAGAACAAAAAATACCAATTATTGCTTCTGTTGCGATTCTCCTAGAATTGATACCACAAGATGACAGGTGGCTAACAGGTAAGAAATACTGTGTTCTGGCTGCTGACATCGGAAAGACAACCAATCAAACTGGTAGAACACATGTCCCAATGTTGGAAGTAGACTGTAGATTGGTGTCCACTCACCAGTAAAGGCTACCACTCACACTGTCCAGTAGAGACCGCAGATTGGTGTCCACTCACCAGTAAAGGCTACCACTCACACTGTCCGGCAGAGACCGCAGATTGGTGTCCACTCACCAGTAAAGGTATCACTCACACTGTCCGGTAGAGACCGCAGATTGGTGTCCACTCACCAGTAAAGGTTACCACTCACACTGTCCAGTAGAGACCGCAGATTGGTGTCCACTCACCAGTAAAGGCTACCACTCACACTGTCCGGTAGAGACTTCAGATTGATGTCCACTCACCAATAAAGGTTACCACTCACACTGTCCGGTAGAGACCTCAGATTGGTGTCCACTCACCAGTAAAGGCTACCACTCACACTGTCCGGTAGAGACCTCAGATTGATGTCCACTCACCAATAAAGGTTACCACTCACACTGTCC